TGCTCTTACTGCTGCTGCTGCTGCTGCTGCTGACAGAAATGTACCAAAAGCACCTCCCGGCACCAAAACAGCAGGGCACGGAAGGACGAACAGGCCACAGAATCGCACCGAAAAACTCTCTAACGTGACTTCTGGAATCCTACTAGAACTGAAGACCTGAGGGAACTGATGAAGGATACTAGACGGCTGCTGCCGTTGCCGCTGCTACTGCTGCTGCTGCTGGACTTGCTACTGCCGCTGCTACTGCCACTGCCGCTGCTCTTACTGCTGCTGCTGCTGACAGAAGTGCACCAAAAGCACCTCCCGGCACCAAAACAGCAGGGCACGGAAGGACGAACAGGCTACAGAATCGCACCGAAAAACTCTCTAACGTGACTTCTGGAATCCTACTAGAACTGAAGACCTGAGGGAACTGCTGCTGCCGTTGCTGCTGCTGCTGCTGGTGCTGCCGCTGACAAAAGTGTACCAAAAGCACCTCCCGGCACCAAAACAGCAGGGCACGGAAAGACGAACAGGCCACAGAATCGCACCGAAAAACTCTCTAACGTGACTTCTGGAATCCTGCTAGAACTGAAGACCTGAGGGAACTGATGGATACTAGGCTGCTGCCGTTACCGCTGCTGCTGCTGCTGCTGGACTTGCTGCTGCCGTTGCTCCTGCTGCTACTGCCACTGCCGCTGCTCTTACTGCTGCTGCTGCTGACAGAAGTGTACCAAAAGCACCTCCCGGCACCAAAACAGCAGGGCACGGAAGGACTAACAGGCCACAGAATCGCACCGAAAAACTCTCTAACGTGACTTCTGGAATCCGACTAGAACTGAAGACCTGAGGGAACTGATGAAGGATACTAGACGGCTGCTGCCGTTGCTGCTGCTGCTGCTGGTGCTGCCGCTGACAGAAGTGTATCAAAAGCACCTCCCGGCACCAAAACAGCAAGGCACGGAAGGACGAACAGGCTACAGAATCGCACCGAAAAACTCTCTAACGTGACATCTGGAATCCTACTAGAACTGAAGACCTGAGGGAACTGATGGATACTAGGCTGCTGCCACCAAAAAGCACCTCCCGGCACCAAAACAGCAGGGCACGGAAGGACGAACAGGCTACAGAATCGCACCGAAAAACTCTCTAACGTGACTTCTGGAATCCTACTAGAACTGAAGACCTGAGGGAACTAACTGATGAAGGACACTAGAAAGCTGCTGCCGTTGCCACTGCCGCTGCTGCTGGACTTTCTGGAATCCGACTAGAACTGAAGACTTGAGGGAACTGATGAAGGAGACTAGAAGGCTGCTGCCGTTGCCGCTGCTGCTGTTGCTGCTGCTGGACTTGCTACTGCCGCTGCTACTGCCACTGCCGCTGCTCTTACTGCTGCTGCTGCTGCTGACAGAAGTGTACCAAAAGCACCTCCCGGCACCAAAACAGCAGGGCACGGAAGGACGAACGGGCCACAGGATCGCACCAAAAAACTCTCTAACGTGACTTCTGGAATCCTACTAGAACTGAAGTGAAGACTTGAGGGAACTGATGAAGGATACTAGAAGGCTGCTGCCGTTGCCGCTGCTGCGGACTTGCTGCTGCCGCTGCTACTGCCATTGCCGCTGACTTCTGGAATCCTACTAGAACTGAAGACATGAGGGAACTGAAGCATACTAGAAGGCTGCTGCCGTTGCCGAGCTCGACTCATGGACACCACTCGAAACGTTGAAACGCCACCTAATTTCATGCCAAAAACGCTCCAAAAGGGACCGGGAAAAGTGCCTAACGTTGCTTCTAAAACCCTAGAAAAAAAGATCTTTTGCCTGCCCTCAAAGCCTAGAAAAAAAGATCTTTTGCCTGCCTTTGTGACAACTGTCTTGTCGCGTCCTGTCGCTTTGACGTCAGCTGCAACAGCTCGACTCATGGACACCACTCGAAACGCTGAAACGCCACCTAATTTCGTGCCCAAAACGCTCCAAAAGTGACCGGAAAAAGTACCTAATGTTGTTTCTGAAACCCTAGAAAAAATCACCTCCCGGGGGAAAACACCCTGCCTCTGAAGGACGAGCTAGGTCCAAAACCACGCCAAAAAACTGCCTAACGTGTCGTCTGAAATCCTAGAAAAACAACATTTTTCGACAGCTTCTGTTGCCTGCGGCTGCTTTTGCCTGCGCCTGCTGCAGCTAAACAGCTTCGAACAACTCACCTCCCGGGGGAAAACCCCATGCTTCTGAAGGACGAGCTAGTTCCAAAACCACGCCAAAAAACTGCCTAACGTGTCGTCTGAAATTCTAGACAAACAACATTTTTCGACAGCTTCTGTTGCCTGCGGGTGCGGCAGTAAAACAGCTTCGAAAAAATCACCTCCTCCCGGGCGGAAAACACCATGCCTCTGAAGGTGTTGTTGTTGTTGTTGTTGTTGTTGTTGTTGGTTGTTGGTGTGGGTGGTGGTGTATGGACACCACTCGAAAACGCTGAAACGCCAACTCACCTCCCGGGGGAAAACCCCATGCTTCTGAAGGACGAGCTAGTTCCAAAACCACGCCAAAAAACTGCCTAACGTGTCGTCTGAAATTCTAGACAAACAACATTTTTCGACAGCTTCTGTTGCCTGCGGGTGCGGCAGTAAAACAGCTTCGAAAAAATCACCTCCTCCCGGGCGGAAAACACCATGCCTCTGAAGGTGTTGTTGTTGTTGTTGTTGTTGTTGTTGTTGTCGTTGTCGTTGTCGTTGTCGTTGTTGTTGTTGTTGTTGTTGTTGTTGTTGTTGTTGTTGTTGGCGGAAATCCTAGAAAAACAACATTTTTCGACAGCTTCTGTTGCCTGCGGCTGCTTTTGCCTGCCCCTGCTGCAGCTAAACAGCTTCGAACAACTCACCTCCCGGGGGAAAACCCCATGCTTCTGAAGGACGAGCTAGTTCCAAAACCACGCCAAAAAACTGCCTAACGTGTCGTCTGAAATTCTAGACAAACAACATTTTTCGACAGCTTCTGTTGCCTGCGGGTGCGGCAGTAAAACAGCTTCGAAAAAATCACCTCCTCCCGGGCGGAAAACACCATGCCTCTGAAGGTGTTGTTGTTGTTGTTGTTGTTGTTGTTGGTGTTGGTGTTGGTGTTGGTGTTGGTGTATGGACACCACTCGAAACGCTGAAACGCCACCTAATTTCGTGCCCAAAACGCTCCAAAAGTGACCGGGAAAAGTACCTAATGTTATTTCTGAAACCCTACAAAAAATCACCTCCCGGGGGAAAACACCCTGCCTCTGAAGGACGAGCTAGGTCCAAAACCACGCCAAAAAACTGCCTAACGTGCCGTCTGAAATCCTAGAAAAACAACATTTTTCGACAGCTTCTGTTGCCTGCGGCTGCTTTTGCCTGCGCCTGCGTGCAATCAAACGCGTTTCGAAACACCTCCCACCTCCCGGGGGAAACCCCATTCTCTGAAGCCGAGCTAGTTCAAAAGCAAAAGAAACAAAACACGCCACAAAAACTGCCCTAACGGTTCCGTCTGAAATTCTAGAAAAAACAACATTGTTCGACATCTTCTTTTGCCTCGGGTGCGGCAGTAAAGAAAACAGCTTCGAAAAAATCACCTCCCCTACCGGGGCGGAAAACACCATGCCTCTGAAGTTTGTTGTTGGTGTTTGTTCTGTTGTGGGTCTGGTTTGTTGTTCTTTGTTGTTGTATGGGTGTTTGGTTGTCTGATGTTGGGTATGGCCACCACTCGCCACGCTGAACTTGGTGTTGGTGTTGGTGTATGGACACCACTCGAAACGCTGAAACGCCACCTAATTTCGTGCCCAAAACGCTCCAAAAGTGACCGGGAAAAGTACCTAATGTTGTTTCTGAAACCCTACAAAAAATCACCTCCCGGGGGAAAGCACCCTGCCTCTGAAGGACGAGCTAGGTCCAAAACCACGCCAAAAAACTGCCTAACGTGTCGTCTGAAATCCTAGAAAAACAACATTTTTCGACAGCTTCTGTTGCCTGCGGCTGCTTTTGCCTGCCCCTGCTGCAGCTAAACAGCTTCGAACAACTCACCTCCCGGGGGAAAACCCCATGCTTCTGAAGGACGAGCTAGTTCCAAAACCACGCCAAAAAACTGCCTAACGTGTCCGTTCCCCCCCCCCCCTGAAATGCTAGAAAAAACAACATTGTCGCCAGCTTCTGTTGCCTGCTGGTGCGGAAAAGTAAAACAATCTTTCTAAAAAAGCACCTCCTCCCGGGCGAAAACCACAATGCCTCTGAGGTGTTTGTTGTTGTTTGTTGTTTGTTGTTGTTGGTGTTGGTGGTTGGTGGTGTGGTTGTATGGACACCACCTCAAACCTGAAACGCCAACTCACCTCCTTGTTGAACCCCCATGCTTCTGAAGGACGACTAGTCCAAAACCACGCCAAAAACTGCCTAACGTGTCCTCTGAAATTCTAGAAAAAACAACATTTTTTCGACAGCTTCTGTTTGCCTGCGGGTGCGGCCAAGTAAAACAGCTTCGAAAAAATCACCTCCCTCCCGGGGGGGGCGGAAAACACCATGCCCCTCGGAAGGGGTTGTTGTTGTTGTTTGTTGTTTGTTGTTGTTGTTGTTGTTGTTCTTGTTGTTGGTTGGTTGGTTGTTTGTTGTTTGTTTGTTGTTATTGTCTAAAATCCTAGCAAAAACACATGGTTTGTTCGACAGCTGCTTTTGCCTGCGGCTGCTTTTGCCTGCGCCTGCTGCAGCTAAACAGCTTCGAACAACTCACCTCCCGGGGGAAAACCCCATGCTTCTGAAGGACGAGCTAGTTCCAAAACCACGCCAAAAAACTGCCTAACGTGTCGTCTGAAATTCTAGAAAAACAACATTTTTCGACAGCTTCTGTTGCCTGCGGGTGCGGCAGTAAAACAGCTTCGAAAAAATCAGAAAGAGGCAAGGGGTACAAAGGACGCATGAGTAAGGGATCGATGCAAACTGTTAGGGGGGAAAGGTGAAATCAGCGTTGGGACCTCCTCCCGGGCGAGGAAGAAAGCGATGAGGACGAAAAACAACTATGCTGGGAGACGGGGGGTGGGTACAGGGAGCAGGGCGCTTAAGGGGATGGGAGAACGGGCGACCGAGGGAGGAGAGCGAAAAGAACGAAGAGGCGCATGAGGACGCTGAGAGAAGGTGGGGTGGGTGATGTTTTTGTGGTGAGGTTTCGATCTTGAGTCAAGATAGGAGGTGCGTGATGTGTGTACCTTGTGTTTTTTGGTGGGGTTGGTTGTTGTGGGTGGTGGTGGGGTGTTGGTGGTTGGGGTAATGGACCCCACTCCGCAACGCTGAAACGCCAACTCACCTCCCGGGGGAAAACCCCATGCTTCTGAAGGACGAGCTAGTTCCAAAACCACACCAAAAAACTGCCTAACGTGTCGTCTGAAATTCTAGAAAAACAACATTTTTCGACAGCTTCTGTTGCCTGCGGGTGCGGCAGTAAAACAGCTTCGAAAAAATCACCTCCTCCCGGGCGGAAAACACCATGCCTCTGAAGGTGTTGTTGTTGTTGTTGTTCTTGTTGTTGTTGTTGTTGTTGTTGTTGTTGGTGTTGGTGTTGGTGTTGGTGTTGTTACAACCTCTCTGCCCTGACGCGCTCCCCCTTGCCGTCGGCCGGGGTCGGCGGATATATATATATATATATGATATATATATATATGACAACGGTTGACAACGTAGTCAAGGGATCTCAAGGCCTTGAGAATTCCCTGGTGCCGTGACTTTGCTGACTTTGCTGAGGTTGTGGATTCACCAGCTTCTGCCCGCAGTGGGTCCTGCATCGTTGTCCCCTCACACATCTCACAATGCAAAGGGCTCACGCTCGCCAGGTGAAGAATCTCCTGCTCGGTGTTTATCTCAGCATATCTCAGCGTTTGGCCGGGATTTGTCGCTTTTCAGCTTTGGAAGATGATCTGATGGTGGTGACCGGTGGTGACCGGTGGGTCGAGGGCAGCATTGGAGCGAGCAGCTCCAAATTCTGCACGGCAGCGCAGGCTGAAGGAGTGCTAGTGACTGCTAGTGCTAGTGCCAGCACACATTGCAGTTGGCAGGATGGGAAGACCGCAGCATAATGATCCAGAGCAGCATCCTAAAAACCTTAGTGCCCTTTGTGAGACCAGCAAAACCAGATATTTGTGAGCAGCAAGACCAGCCTTGATATCCAGGAGATGTTGACTTCTGTGGGTTTCTTCTGAGACGTCACACTCAACGGCGTCCAAGACGTCCTGTTCGGGTTCAATGCCTGGAGATCTGTGGCCGAGTTTGGTGACTCAAGCGACTCCGACGGCAGGAAGATCTGGAAGACATTGGAAGCTTCAAAGCTATGCTTCCCAAAGCTATGCTTCCCAAAGCTATGCTTTCGACTCCAAGCCCAAGCCGGGCTTTGGAGCTTTCGACTTAGAGCTGAGGAAAATAGTGAGAAGAGTTGTGGCGGGAGTCGTGGCAGCGTGTGAAGTTTTCAGCTGAACTTCTTCGTCGAAGAATGCCACTTGCTTTGAGGATCGAAAGAATCAAAGTGGTACGAATCGCTGTGTTTTTTTATTGGCATGTGGCTTGTTCTTTTAATTTTGCTGATGCCTTCTCTGCCTTCTCCTCTTATCTCAGATATCTCTTACTTTTGGTTTTGGTTCAAGAGCTGACAATGTGACCTACCCTCTGGTAGTTTAACATAGCTATTGAAAATGGCCATTTATAGTGGATTTACCCATGAAAAATGATGATTTTCCATAGCTATGTTAAATTACCAGAGGGTACCTGCCTCTTTGGCACCAGTCATGGCGGAGGCTGAGGTGAGGGAGTACTGAAACACATGAAGAAGACCTGGAGTAAGATGTAGTAGATCACGGCGGACTCGGACTAGACCACACTTAAACTTTGAGTAGTAAGATGATGCAAAATGATGAAAAATGATGTAAGATGATGAGAACCACCCTGGGAGGCAGTGCCGGACCCACCAGAAGCTGCTCCTGTGATCATCTCAGTCTAAAGATGTCTAAAGATGTCTAAGTCCGATGTCCGAAGAGGACCTGCAGTTTCCATCAGTTTCCATGCTCTCATGGACACCTGCAGCCAGGTGGCCAGCCTGAAACTCATCATCCAGCAAGAGCCAACATCGACTGGGTTGAGCATGTCGAGCACGTCCCATGTTGTTTCTGATTTGTTTCTGAAGCCATGGATTCTCTGGATTTTCTGAAGTGATTGTATAAGACTTTGATCAATTCTATCTGCTCTCTTTGCAATTGACTCAGAAGCGGCACTCCCATGAGCATGAGGTGATCCACCAGCCGAAGGGGCCGCAGGCTCGTTTGCCAAGCTCCAAAACTCTCATGGGATGATTCGCAGTGAAAATACAATGCTAGATGTTCCAAGATGTTCGAAATGTGGAATGCCGATGAATGCCGTGGATATGTCAATTACCCGGTGGTTGATGCTATATGACCCATGACCGTCATGACCGTCACCGTGGAACGCCATGGAACGCCGTGGAACACCGTGGACCCGCAACGCGCAACACGTCCACGACAGGTGAGGCGCCCGAAGCCGCGGCCGCCGCTGCGCCCGAGGCCTCCGAGGTCCCCGAGGCGGCGCCGTCGGTGCCGTCGGTGCCGTCGGTGCCCGCGGTCACGGAGACGTCCGCCTCCGCATCGGCGCCCGAGGTGAGGAACACAACGGCAACGCTCCAAGGATTGGATAACTTAAAGTTACTTAGAGAAGATAATTCTGATATGTTATGACTTACACTTTAGATAACTTAGTTATATTTAGGTATACTTAGTTAATTAATATGAATGATAGTAATGATAATTAGAGTTGTTATCCATTCTCATCCATTCTTAGCCATTCTTATCCATTGTTGTGCAGTTAACGTATCATGTTCTTAAACTTTTATTCATTTTTATCCAATGTCATCCCATGTCATCCCATACTCATATGGCGGCCTCCCCTTGATAGCTGGTTGGAAGGCACCTGAAGCTTCTACCTCAACGGACGTGCGGTTGCTAAGACTTCGATGCAATGATTAGCTGCAGAAGAAGGCACCAAAAAGACCCCCTGAGCTCAAAAGCTGAACTGCCTGAAGGGACTTGGACAGGATCAATAGACATCAACTCAATTCAGTGTGAACATCCAGTCAGATGTTCATCAAGGAAAGTAGTCTCACTGTTTGAGATTTCTAGTTTAGACAACTTGGATTCCTTTCCTGGAACTTCTCCAAATCAATAAGATGTCACCAGCCGAGGCGCAAAGTCATCCAGTTTCTGGTGAAGCAAGCATTGACCTAGTAATCCTGCCTGAGGCAGGGACAGTTGAATCGTGTTGAACCGCAATGAACACTGAAAGGCATCACATGGCATCACATGGCAGCACATGGCAATTTATTTTGCTACCCTCAGCAAGCTTCCATGAGTCCAGAATTGAATGGTTTTCTCGTGTTTTCTTGGCAATTTAGCTCAAGATGTGCAGCCACACTTGGAACAGGGCTATGGCCAGACCAAGCAAGTCAACATAGACCGGCTGGTTGGGCAGATTCGTGCGGATCTGGAGCATGAGCAACCCAGCTGCACAGCACGAGCAGCATGAGCAGCACGAGCAGCATGACGGACAGGTTACATAACCGGTACAGTTACAGTTGGATGGAATTTGAGATCACTCAGATTCTATCAGCATTGTTTGGATTTATAGTGATTTATATATGGTTCATGGACTACACGGGAAGGGGATGTAACGGGAGTTTTTGCCCTTCGATTCGTGGATCTAAGGCTTAGCATTCCCGACAAGTCGCTCTTCTTGATGAACTTGTCAGGTGCTGCAGAGGTCTGGCGATCAGCTGCGTTCAAAAATTGGGTCATCCCACAATTCTATAGTTGATGATGGTTGATCAATGTTGATAATCATTTCCCATATATTCCCATATCATCCATATCCCATTTCTGGGACCGAGCTGCCATGAGCTGGAAAGCACCCTGCACAGTTTTGCACACACTGGCTCTGTTCGCCAGTTCAAGCAAGTGCTCCCTGACGAGAAATCGCTTAGAGATTTGGGCTTGAAGCCTGGAGACAGGGTGTGGAGCTTGGAGGGTGGCAGACCGATGCAGACCGATGCAGACCAATGCAGACCGCATGAGAGAATCCAATGGCACGAGTTGGATGATGGGGACACTACCCTCTCTTTTTTTTGGTGCCATTCAGGCGGGGATTGAGCTCAGAATCAACTACTACCAGGAACAAGCAGCCGAGGCCTGGGAAGCGTTCCAGAATTCTGCTATGTCTGCTATGTCCACTTGACACCTCAAAAACAACATGTGAGCATTTTTGCATTATGAAAAGTAAAATGCAGAGAAGCGTAGGAACCTGAGAGTTTTCGGAACGCGTCTTGAGAAAATGGTGGACACCTCCAGTTGGAGTCTCGGGTGCATCGCGTGCAGGAGTACGTCATGCCCGACTGCCTCGAGCTGAAAGTGGTGAACGATCGCGGCGAGGTGAAATCAATGAACCACTTTCCACTTGGTTCACATCCAGCAGTCGACCCGCTCCATGATTTTTCGAGCGGTTGGATTATACATGATGATACAATATGATACATGATAACACAATGACTCCAGCTTGCCTTGGGCTGCAGATGATTTTGGGGTTAGCTTTGGATAGCTTTGGGGTCTGGATGGATCTGGATCTCCCCTTTTTCATGCTTTTTCCACAATGAAACCTCGAAATCGGACGCAGGAGCGGATCATTTCGGTCCACGTGCAGCGACCCGTCATGGAGAAGCGCCAGCCTCAGTTTGATGCTGGGATCGCCAGGTCATCATAGTCCCAGAACATGTTGAGCACTCACTCTAGCAGCTGATATTAGCAGCTGAAATCGCTCAGGCCGTATTTTGGTGGCTATCGAAACAAGATGACGGGGTCGACGTGGGCTGCTCAGTATTGTTTTTTGTCATGGATGTGTGGCAATGACTTTTCAATGTGGACAGTATTGCGCTGAAAATCTCGGAAGGTTTCATCACGCAGTGACCCAGACTGCACCAATCCAGAAGAAGGATGTGCACATCATCCGTTTCCATCGCGAGGCTGGAAAGCATTGGAAAGCCAGTTTTTGGTGTTGTCAAACTTTGAGCATCTAAATATTTGTTCGTTGTCCCATCGATATCTGATTGATAAGATATCCCATCAATATCCCCATTCATATCTCATTAAACCATGTTTGGTTCTGTGATTCGGACCCTGCGAGGCACAAACCTACGAGTACCGAACCCGATCTACGCAGTGCAAGCGCGAGGCTGGCACGCAGATGGAGAAGGCGCTGTGGCCGATTCGCCAGCAACACCAGTGGGGAAAGATTCGGAAAGAGGGAGTCACGTGAGTCACGTGAAACACGTGAAACACGTGAAACACGTGAGGTGGGCTTGTACGTGGATCAGCGGGATGATGTGGTCATGAAGCCACGGCGGCCGTACTTCAGCAGCGCAGACAAGGCGGTGCGAGGAGAGTTCTGGGCGGACTTCATGTCTGGAGTCACTTAAGACAGGAAAAGGACGGAAAAGAATGTTTGAGTCTAGGAAGCTGGCAGGCTTGAATCTGTTCCAACTTGCAGATGCTATTTCTGACTCCTTGCATTCAGTTGCATTGAAAAAGAGTCAGCTCCCCCTATAACTCACCAGCACAGTTGGTCAGGCGGCGCTGGTTCTTGAAAAGCAACTCGGATGTATTTGGCAACTCTGGATCACGAAGCCAAGCCTGGTGGCCCTGCTTTGGTATGCTTTGGTCACTAAGGTGCGTCATGATTCAATGCCATGCCAGAGGCATGTTAGCCAGAAGGCGGGGGTTCATAGTCTCTGTCTCAGTGTGACTTTACTGCCTCGAATTGACTCGAATTTACGTCGTAATTTGACAATGTGCGGGTGACAGGCGCACTCGACAGCTTCGGCAAGCACGACAGGCCTTTCGTTGAAGCTTTCAGGGAGATGTGCCGAAGGGATCCAAAGGGTCTGCAAAGTCTACCACACTCATGCTGTGTTTTGGGTCGACGGGTTCAATGAGTTCAAGTGAAGTTCAAAGCAACTCGAAAACGCATCAAGAAACAGCAGAAAACAAACCTGGCTTTTGCTATGGTTGAAAAATGTGGTAAATATGGGTAAATGGGATACCAACAGCAGTTTTAGATAATTTTAGTATTTACCCATCCAATCCATTTGTAATTTTGAGCCATTCCTACTTGAACATAGGCTGAACATAAGGAATAGGTTATGGTTGGCTCCAGCGTGTTGATCAACTGAGAAACGCCTGCTGTAGGAGCGCGAAGAATTGGAACAAAGAGAGGCAGAACGCCTGCAGCTGGAGGCAGATCTGCTGGTGGGAACTGACGTTGATGCAACTCATGCAACTCACTGACGTTGTCACAGCCAGGCAGATCTGAGACACAAGCGTGAGGTGGAGAGGCGCATGCATCCTCTCACTCCGGAGGACAGATCCAGTGCAGCATTTTGACATTGCACTTCTTTTGACTGACGATATAACAGAGACGGAGCTTGACCAAGTTTCAGGGCTTGAGAAGAATGGTTGGGATCTGTTGGCTTCAGTTGCATCACGCCCAGATTTGTCAGTGAAAGGACTTCAATGTGCTCTACAAAGAGTTGGAGGCGACATCGGAGTCATCCGAGTCTGTTTTTCCAGTTCGAGCTTTGATTTGCACGAGAGTATTCCATTAAAAAGTTGCTGAAAGTTGTGTGTGCTGGACATTGCTGGACCCGTTTTTAACCTGAAGGCCTGGCGGGTGAACGAGGCAGCTCGAATCCAGAACTCCGGATTTGACGAGGCCCGTGGTCGTTGTGGTGTGCGTGTGCCCGAGATACAGCAGATGCCGAAGCACAGGCCACTCGCCGTGCTGCGCAATATGAGCTGCTGCGGAAGGTGCGCCACAAACATGTCAGAATTCGATTCGTCGCATCGGACATCTCACGAATCATTCAAAGCCAAGGAGACCAAACTTTTACAGACCATTGACAAGCTGAAGATCAAGGCAATGCGCTTACCCTGTCACTGCAACATTTTTTGTTTGGTCTTTTTTGATATGTTTTCGCTTACCACCGATTCACATGGGATTCGCATAGAGCATATTTGTGCGTGAGAATCAATGCCAAGGCACACTCCCAAAATCGGGACAGCAAGATCAAAGGAAAGCTAGAGCAGCAGCCTTAGACCGTCGGAGCTGTTGCAATGCAACGCGACGTGTTGTAACCTGCACGATGCATTGAGGTCAATGGCTCAACCGAAAGTTTGGCTACAGACGGATGGTGAGACCACCACAGTGCATACGCCTTTCACAACTCGTGCCAAGGACAACATGGGATGTTTCAAGCGACGTCTCACGTGGATTTCGGAAAGAGTGGAGAGAGGAATTGACAATGCCGTGGTGCAATCTTGGCACTTATTTATCTTATTTGCCATCCTTTGCCATCCTTTGTAATCATTTGGTATATTTTGGTATATTTTGGTATATTTTGGTTTAGCAAGATCCTCTACCATGAAAAACGGACCAACCCTTAAAATTTGACATTCCCCAATTCTGGATTGGTGCTGTGAAGCCGACATATGTGGCAGCATTGGCCTGCCACGTGTGGCAGAGCTGTTCTGCCACGTGCATTTTCAATCTGTCAAATGTTGTTCTCTGGATTTTTTGAGTCGCAGAACATGTTTTTTATAATGTTTTTTTGTTACCACCAAGTGTTTTTTTTGTTTTCAAATTGTTTTTTTCCAGTTGCAAAGTCTTGGCCTGCTGTGGCAGGGGTTCCTTTCTGACGTGGCAGTGTGGTGTCTTGTGCGTGGCAGGGGTTCCTTTCTGACGTGGCAGTGTGGTGTCTTGTGCGTGGCAAGGTTTCTTTTTGATGTGGCAGTGTGGTGTCTTGTGCGTGGCAGGGTTTCTTTTTGATGTGGCAGTGTGGTGTCTTGTGCGTGGCAGGGTTTCTTTTTGACGTGGCAGTGTGCGTGGCAGGGGTTCCTTTCTGACGTGGCAGTGTGGTGTCTCTTGTGCATGGCAGTTCCGTCTAACAAACAACAGGGAAGGTGATTGGGCATTACGTTGTGTTTTATTGCGCATTTCACTCGCATCTAACTTTCATTTGCGTCTTTACTTAGTGCTGCTTGGGGGGGCAGGGCAGCACATTAATTCGACAGGTTAGTTTGGTGTGCGTGTGTGTGTGTTTTTGTGTGTGTGTGCGCCTGCGTCACTGAATGTTTTTGGCGTCCGGCATTACATGTACCAGGTAAACAGGTAAACGGTAAACTTGTAATATCTATTTTAAAAATGCAATGATTGTATACCAAACTAACATACAGAACATGGCATGTGCAGCTAAAATTTCAATCAGAGAAGACTTGTGTGAGCCAGTTGTTTCACCTGACATCCAATTCACTGTGGCTCATTTGAACCTTGCGCTTCAACAACATGTGAATTTCTTTTGGTTGCAGTGCCACAAGACACAATTGTTCAAACCACCTGGAAAGCACAGCCTGTGCAGAAATCTGGAGTCAACTGACTGGCTAGTTAATTATAATATATATTTATAGTACACTAGTACACTATTATAGATTGTAGGTTCTAGATTCTAGATTCTAGATTTCATATTATAGATTCTAGATTCTAGATTCTAGATTCTAGATAGTAGCAAGTGGCAAAAGCACCAATAGAATTGAATGAATAAATAGAAATGTTTGCATTTGAAAACGGGACAGCGGGACAACCTGTAATCATAATAATATAATATTCTGCTATAATACTTTGGCCATAGTACTCTATACACACATGGATGATGTGTAAAACTGGGAATCATAATTCAATTGAGCGTGCATGTGCGCTGCACAGCCATGGATGCTTCAGCTTCCATGGATAGCTCCAGTGCTGCGGCGTTTGATTTTACCGATATGTTTGATGATCCTGATTTCGCTATGCCAAGTTGTGCTTTAGCAGTGGCAGAGGCACGTGTGGCTACGGTGGACCAGGACAAGAATCTGAACCAGCAGAATGATGGCCTTCCTGTAATGCCCTTTAGTGTGCGGAGCAGGGGAATCTGTTCTATCCAAAAAACGGGGTTGAGACGTCTTAGGAAGAGACAAGAACAACTCAAAGCCGGTGTCGCTAGAGTCAATAAAGGTAGCATGTACTCCAAGGGGACAAAGGAAGAACGCACAAATTGGTCCCTAAGATTGCAGCTGAAGAAAGCGGAGAAGAAACTTGCATTGAATGAATGTAGTGTTTTGGAACTATTGACTTCTTTGCAAAAGCGAAGTCAGCATGGTGATGGAATGCGGCTGCGCATTTTGAGGAGGGGACGTCTTTTTTCCAAGCGTGGTTTGATCAATGCTGCAGCGGTTAAAGCATCTGGGAAGGGGAATCGGTTTGTCAGTTCTTATTCCATGACTGACTTTCTTGAAACAAGTTTTGGGAAACTTTCCAACAAAAAGAGAATCAAACAGCGTAATGCTCTGGCTGTTTCATCGGAGATGGGCCCGCGGACAGTTTCAACAATGCAGATGACGGTTGCATGTGCCGTCATGGCAAGACAGGCTCGCATCCTTGCGAACTTGTACAAACTTTGCAAGAAGAATCCACCCACTGTTTTTGCTATGCGAGAGGCTTTTGATGAGACCGGTCACAAGGTCACAGTCAATTTGGGGTTTGGAAACGAGACGGCTGTGTCCCAAATTTGTGTGGTCCACCACTACCTTGTGATTTGTTGGTTGGTCGGGGGCGAACAGAAAATGATGTGCATGCCTTTGGTGATTCCTCCACTGCTAGTTCTTACACCAAGTGCACCACAGCTATACTATGCCACCACCAACCACCCAATGCTCCACACCATCCGTTCTTTTGAGAGACTCATTGCTGAAACAGCAGGGGAACAGATTTTGCTCCAAGAAACCGACTCGGCGACAGCAAATGATCGCCTTTATCATTTCAAGCTGAATCGTTTTGACGGAGATCGTGCTTTGCGAGAGTGCATGCCATGCTTAAACCACCAAGTCACTAGGCAGGCGCATTTATATAGTTATTTAGCTTTCATACTTTTTCTGTGTTGAGGGGATTGTTGAACATGTTTGTCAAGGGGGAAAAACATTTGCCATTGATTTGTGATGTTGGGGACATACAGCATATTTATTGAAAGTGTAGGGTAGTGTAATGTAGAATGTAATGTAGTGTAGTATAGTAGTCCATATCTATGTTATTGAATTTATATTCTAAAAGTATAAATAAACAAACTATATAAACATAAACTATCCAACTATATACATTGGCATTGTTTTCAATGTTGAATACCCGTATCTAGCAGCTAGCTCGATTCCAAATTCCAATTTTCTTATTGGTAGCCGGTTGGACTTGACCCTTGACTATGGGAGTCTAGGAGTCTGGGACTAGGAGTCCTAATCAAAATCAGGCGTCTGAGTCTAGGCCACCTTTTGCCATGGTCTTCTTCAATAGGGAAAACGGGAAAACATATGTCATATGGCCATAGCTATTGCTGAAAAGCGGGGTTCCCACATCTTATCTGTCTTAGTTTAGTTTGCAGTTTTTAGGAATTCGTTTTGTTTTGTGAGCCCACTTGAAAATTTTGAGTTTTGAGTAGGTCATACGCATGTGACCCGTGAGTGTGATGTATGTTTGAACTTTGCCGCTGTTGCTTACAGCAACGGAAACAGCTCTCAGGTATCTCTGATTGAAGGCAGTGCTGTCACCCAGACGGACAAAAAGTTGATCAGCAATCTGTTTTCTTTCACCCACTTCCTCCAAGCTCGAACGAACTTCAGCAAATTGAAAGCAAGTGTATGTGAAGTTCTCAAAGCTTCTTGTGAGATTCGAGTTGTTGCAGACCTCCCTTCTGAAATGAATCGCCCAAATGAATGTGTAGAAGAATTGCTTGACATGATGCGAGCTGTTCGGTGGGCTTCTGCTCAGAACAAAAAGCGGGCTGATATTCCAGAAGGCGCAGATGAACAAATTTCTTCTGGCAAATATTTGGAGAAGGAGTCGTTTTTCAGACGCATGTGGAATGGTGTTTTCACAACCACGCCAACGCATATATGCTGTCGGGATGGCCCGAACCCCTGCTGTAGCAACAATGATGAGTCGCAGACAAGGATGGCTGAGTCCATGATTGGGCTTGCTTTCAGCGCCATTCCCTCGACGCCTGCCCCCGGAAAATGGACAAAACTTTGGGAGCCATTGATGTTTCTGGTGTTTACAACATGGAGCCATCTTCTACAACCTTGTTTTGAGAAAGTTGTCACTGGGTTTGCAAAAGAACCCGGAGAGATTGACCCAGAGTTGGATCCTGCTCTGCAAGCGGTCTTGCAGTGGTCCAAAATTACTGGAATCTTTGTTTCACACGTATAAGTATATTTTTCATTTATGTTTTCTGTTTTCATGTTCATTCTCCAGGCCTGTGATTCTACATAACCGTAACCCATGCCCCATGCTTGCCACCACAGCAAAAAAAACATATCAATATTGTCATATATTTGCAACACTCACTCTTACTTACATTACCTGCAACACTCCCTTCATTGTATATATGAAGAATGGTTTTATTTTCTTGCAGTGTGATTAAAATTCCAAAAGTGTGCATAGCGAGGTTATTGTGGCATTAATCTTTTATATTTATAATTTATCATTATTAGTTCGGATATTGGTTTTGCCTGTTTTGCCTGACCTTTGACTGACAGTGACACTAACTTGACCAAATTAACTAAATTTATATTTTAGTCACTATCAATGTTTTGTGGCTGAGGAACAAGGGCCAGCAAAGCGCAAGAGTTTGTGAACCGAGTGGGTGGGACATCATTTGGAAAGTGGCCCGGTTCCGACAACATTTGTTTTCCCAAATTATTTTCTCAGGCCTTTGAACATGACAGGTGTTCCGGTCAAGAGTCTAGCTAGAGTCTAGTCAAGTAGTCTAGAGTCTAGAGTCTAGAGTTTGGTAGAGTTTGGAGCCTCATGTTTGGTGAGTAAGGCACTTGCTCTTCCTGGCATTAGTCGATGAGGCTATCAGGTTCATGACGTTTACATTTCTCGGGTCATGCGCATCATTTGGCAACCCATTGGCCAGCCCCATCCTTTTTCAACTTGCAAATCCATCGTCCTCACCATTGCTAGCTGCGCTGCAATATTTGGCATCTTTGCTTTTTTCAACTGGCCCCAAGACACGTTTGCACATCGTGCTCAAGTCGGGGTACGCATCCATTCCTGATTGGGAGCAGGAGGCGCCCCAAGATGTCAGAACCTTTAGACGAATGGTTTTGCTGACAATTTCGTGGTTGCAGCGGCGTGTTGGCGACAGAATTGATGAGTTTCCCTTTTCACTGGTTGCTTTGGCCGACCCAAACACATCACAGGAGTTTCGGCAAAGTATTTGTCAACAATGGGATGAAGCTCATTCATGTTGCGTTCGTCCGGGTTTTGCTGCCAAGTTGAAGAAACGGCACATCAGGGGCGATGATTTGCTCAGTCCAAAGTGGCTAAGCTTGTGAGTTTGTGCAAGTACTACTGTTGCAGATTCTTTCATTTTGTCAACGTGGCTCTTCTCACCAATGATAGCAAAACAAACCGAGAGAAATCACACAAATGAAATGTCCATGTATATATATTATATTATTATATTACAATATACCTTTATTTTAGTTCAGTTTGGTTTCTTTAGCTTTAGATTCAAATATGTTTATTAAATTATTATTATCGTTGTTTTTGTCTGATAGAACAATATAATAGGCTCAGTGTCCCTTTTGATATTTCCCACTTAGGTGGGCAGCTGTTCTACATTCACTGGCTGCAGTCACAACATGCACTGTGGCTGATTGCGAAGTTGCGCATAGTCATCACGGGTCCTTGCTTAGAAGTACAGGGGCTACCCGAACAATGGCAAACCTCTGCAGCAATTCTATCAATGATTATGCTCGAACATTGCGCCTGCGAGTGGAAAAGGTTGCCCAAGTCTGTTCTCAACAAGTAGAAAACGGTACCAGCTCAGAAGGATCGTCAAGTCAAAAGGCCGAAGTTTCTGGAACTAGCGGGGGCAACTTGAAAGCGAGTGCTCTGCTTGTTTTTCGAAAAGCTTACATCAGTGGCCAGAAAAAACTGGGGTCGGAAGTCAAGAACTGGTTCTCAAAGGATGCATGGGCTGAAGTGAAGGCTGCCTTTGCATCTCTGCCAGTGGAAACCCAGGCAAGCTACCAGGCACTTGCAGACTCTTGCAACACATTGCGTGCGGAGTCCGCAAAGACAAAAGCACTTGCCGATCAGTTTGAGTTTGAGAATTCAAACTCTTCTGGAGCTGCCGTGAAATCTGCACAGTCGGATTTAGCAATCTGCCCGGTGCCTGCGGGACCATTGAATGTGCTGCTAGGTTCTTTGGATTTCAAAGAGTTGCGAGACAAGATGGCATCTTTGGAAGAGTTTGTTGCGCACTTAGCCCACCAGCACCAAGACCTAGTTTCAAAATGCTCGAAGGCACCAGTGAACAATGTTTGGCCAATAGATGAAAGCAACATTTTGTCTTCACTGATGGGTATTCGTTGCGCAAAGAAGTCTTTGGTCGAGTGCACTCAGGCCTTTAAGTATCTTGACCCACCTCTTGGTCAATTTGACTTTGACTTTTGATAGGGGTGTTGGAAAAGTTGACAGTTATGTTTATGTTGATATATTGATAGTTGGTCTTCTTTTTACTTTTGGTTTTTGGGTTCCAATTTTTCAACATGAGGAAGTTGGCATCCCATACTGCTGGCCCGAAGTCTGAGGAAGACACGTTTCCAAACCATGTCCAGTACCGGAGCTATTGCAAAGGGGGACTCTGTCGCTTCCATTCTCCAATTCGGGTTTCACAATTGTGTTCCAAATTGGTTGATGCACTGAATGGTATGGGTCGAAAATATGATAGTGCAGCTCAGATGGTGCGTGATGATCTCCTGTTGCGCTTCGGTATTTTTCACGCTGGAGCTCGGCAAGTGACGTATGAGTACTACCTTCTTACTTCAGCTGTGTTCAGGGGTGGGAGACAGCCGGCACAACAATCTTACTGCTCCATGGACATTGTACGCCAAGAATCAGGGTCACAAAACAATGTTCTTCTTAAGATTGCCCAGCAGCCGCATGTCCAACAGAGCAAGACATGGCCATCCCCATTGGAAAGAGGGTCGGATGAAGCATCAGGGTGCCCTGTAACCCTTTCAACCATGAAACTTGCAGCCCGTTTGTCGCAGCTGAAGCTGGAAACCAGGTTGTCAGATGAGTACCCCCACAAAATTGTGATCAGAAAAATCAAATTCACTGATGTCTCTAGGTCGCTCCTTCAGGTCACAGGGTGCGATGCAACTTGGAATCCAATTTTGGTAGAAGTTCCGGTGGACAATCAAGCGGGGTCATTGGTGGAGAAGAGTTCCGGGGCAGCAAGAGGGGCAAGAGCCCAAACCAGAAACAAAACTGGTGAAATTGACATGTTGAGCTGTGGTTTCGATTTGGGCTTAGACTTAGACTTGGCCATTGCAAATCCGGAACCACAGGTGCTGGAGGCAGAGCCTGAACCAACTGATCAGATTGATGATCACAGTGTCAATGATCCAACCCCCCCTTGTCGAGAGGAAATTATTGAACAACTTTTGGCCGCACTTGATGTGCAAGTCAACTCAGAGGAATACCTGGATGTAGGGAGTTCCACTGCAAATCAGAAGGGGGTGGATGATTACCGAGGGCTGTTGGGTCAAGATGAGTTGGCTGTTTTGGAAGAAATTGACAAGAACTTTTCAACCAAAGAGCCTGCAGCTTTTGTTGAAGATCCCCAAGCTCAAGATGCATCTTGACTTGCCAGTGGTTCTAGGATTTTAGGGTTCCTGGGTTATCATCGCCAAATTTTTGCCAATCATCAATGTACAATGTACAATTGCACAATGAACAGTGAACACTGTACACACTGTCACTTTACTTTACTTACTGTACTGTACACTTACACTGCTTACACTTACTTACACTGTACACTGCAGTAAGCTCTGGGCTAGGAGTCACTAACCCATAGTTTTCTTTTTGACAGCGGGTTCAGCAAGAAAAGCTGAGTCTAAGACTAGAGCCGCCTAGAACTCTTGAATCTAGATTCCAGACACTTCACTAGACTGTAACTGTAACACTGTAGGTAGACTTTGACTCGACCCAGGCAAACTGCAGCGAGGGTGCCGATCTACCAGGTGAAGAAGAAGAGCTGGCATTTGAATTGGGTTTTGGCAATGCTGAAGTAGATGACGCATTCGGTTCTCTCCAGAACAAAATGGATGTGCCAACCGGCCCTGATGAGGTTTTGCTCTGTGGAATTCTTAGTGAGCTCCCTGATGCTGAAACAGCAAGTGCTCCTGAGCCAGAATCTGTTCAACCTGGCTCAAGTACTGATAGGGTCGATGGTGTGGATGCTGTTACGGAAATGGATGGAGTGACCAGTTCAGGTTCAGCAAGCGGAGGGCCCGTTTCCTTGGTAGTTGAGCAGCCCGCTGCTGCTGCTGCTGCTTCAAGTTCATCATCAAGGTCATCAAGCAGACTGCTGCAACAACCCCGTGCCATCAGGGAAGTGTCTGGCTTTGCTTGCATTCTCCGTGAGCGCCGGTTTACGATGCCAAACGGCGCCATTGTACTTTTGAAATCCGGTGTGAATGCCGGCAGCACAGGCAATATTGCTAGTGTGTATCAGGATCCAGACTGTACCATTGTTTTGGGGCACTTAGGGACTGCCGCCCCTTTGGGGGAAACTGAGGGGCTCAAGGCTTCTTGCTCTCAACATTCTCGCAAGGGATACCGGTGTCAGTGTTGGATCAGGTTTCAAAAGGATTACGATGTAACAGACAGCGTGAGACTTGATTTGTTCCGGTCTCTGGCTGATTGGCTGTCTGAAAGCGCCACTTTGTCAGAAACAGAGCATGACGAAAATTCGTTTAACTTGCGGCTGGCGGCAAACATGAACCCACGCAAGAGAAAGGCCACAACAAAGTAAACATGAACTACTGATCTCAATTATTCATGTTCTCAAAAAACAACCTTTCAGTTTTGTGTTTCTAAGTGCGCTTTTCCAACGGTTCAAAGTTCGAACGTTTACCCCGTAAATATCCAATATGCAACGCTAAAGCTAAAGTAACGGAAAAACATTTTTTCAGGTCATTCAACATTCTAGAATCCTAGAATCTAGAATCTTGAGCGTCAGAAGTTTAAAACTTGCGAATAGAACTGAGACTTAGACTCAGACTAGACACTAACTAGACTTCCATTTATATTTTAGAAAGAACCTACTGAAAAAGTTGTCAAACTTTTGAACCGTTGGAAACCCAGTACTGTACTATCATCGCAAAGATTGTGGTGGCCGAAGGGGTTCGTTCAATTCAGACTCAGACTATTTGCCGGGTCAGGTCAACTATTAACTACTAAGACTTACTTACTATGTACGAACTTATGTCCCAACTTTCATGTGATCAGATTTTTAATTTTAATTTTGTATTAAGTACTAAGGGTATAACAAACTATACTATATTCTAGAACCAATCTAGTAATCTAGTATCTATAGTTTAATATTTAATATGATAGAATAAAAAAATGTATCTATCTATATCTACAGTATATGATACAATATCATACGAATATATATTAACACAGTTTAAAATAATATTAAATTACATTGCGCTACATTATACCAAAATCTGGGATGTGATCTACAAATATGATATATTCATTACTGAATTTAATTACTAAATCATATTTAGCAAATATAGTATATCTATTTCATACCAACTCATTTTAGATTTTGTTATTCTTTTATATTTTATTATATCATATTTGATTATAATATGATATGTTTTCATATGTTATTTCTTTTATTTTATATTAAGCCATTTTAAATTTTAATATTTTGTTATATTGTTTAATGTTTTAATTGTTATGTTGTATTTTTATTGTATATAGCATTGTATTATATCAAACCAAAGTATCTTATATTATATTGTATTTTATTATTGTATAGTATTATAATTATATTAATATTCTTTCACACCAGATCATATCATCATATGTTAAATCATAATATCATAATATGTGTTATTGTATGACAGTTTTTTTTAAAATATCTTATAAAGTTTATTATTGATTATTGAATATTTTTACTGGTAGTTATGATTCTTATAGATGAAGGTAGCTGTTTTCTGGGACCGGATGACCCGCCCACAGTTCTGAAGTAGCGGACAATTTCAACTCCCAAGGGAAGCACGTTACCGACGTTACCGTTGCATTGACAGTCCCCCACCAGCGGCGTTATGATTTTTGACACTATGACATGACTGTGACCCCATCATTCAGGATTCACCTGGTTTCATTTCCTCCTGGGTCCAGGCATGTGATAGATTTAAGTTGATTTGATAGGATATGATTCTGGTAGGACCTGTTCTACACAACAAGAAAAGCAGTGATCATCACAAGAAGAGAATGGATCCTATTTCACCAATTATTTTTGGATCCTATTTCAGGCCCCTCATGACGATTGTTGGTTTGCTTACTTAGAGTCTTAGACTCTTAGCCTTAATCATTAATCTTAGTCATAGAATAGAAAGAACGATATTCAGACTTAGATTTAGATATTTAGGCTTAGAACTTGATTCCCTGGCTTTGAGAACTTGTCAGGCAACTCGCTTGTGCTCAGAATGGGGTGAAACTGGAACCCAAATGTTTCAATAAAATTGATGACCAGTCACATATAGTGATGCAGCTGAGTGTGAAACTATGCTAGTTGACAAATGAGTCAATGGCTTATTTATTTTTCTTACAATCATCATAGCATTGTTTCTTAGGAATGTTATGACATGTTATGACTCTGGAGTTTGTGGATTCTTCCTGTTCTTGGCTGGTGACGATAATCAATCTTTCAGTTTCAGACCAGATGCCAGCTGCTTGAGCTGCAGCCACGGTGCTTTTGGCATGCTTGCTGGAAGCTGGAAGCCAGTGTATTTCAAAATTCAAAAGGGTACTTTGGCATGGCTGGCATTGGCATAGTTGCCTCCTAAAAATGCAATTGTCATAGCATCTCTACAATGTACAATCTACTACTACTACATTGAAATATCACCTACCTAGACCTAGACTTTACAAATAAAATCTAGAATCTAGAATCTATTGCTGTAGTTTCGTATACATACCTGTTACACAATCATAATAATATTTAAAATTTAATAATACTAGTCAATTGGGGCTTTTCATGGCTAACGGCTAACGCTGCATCAAACAATCAATTATATACTGCTGGAGAAAAATGGTGTATTTTGAATTTTGAAGGTGGACTTTGTTTGTGATGTGTAAAGGCCGAAAGCCAAACACCAAACCCTTTTGACTTTTCAATACTCTTCACAAGGCTCGGTGCTGATTGCATTGCAATCAATCTGTTATCGACTACTTGGTCAAATGGTGGCCCGACAGTAGTCAAGCTGACTTCCGCAGGTTGTTCGTCAAACAGCCAAGCTTTTGAGTTTTGAGTCGAGTTTTGAGCGTTTTCTTACAGTTGTTCATCAATCGTTATCTTTAACTTTAACTTTATCTTATCACATTTCACACAGTATTTCACTATTGGACGTTGTTTGGGTCAGTGCCCACCATTGATGAAACGCATGGGTTTCTGAATCACATTTGGAACTTGTATTTTAAATCACGGTCGCCAAGGGCAGGGGATTTTTAGATAGTCTACTACTAGAGTCTAGATTCTAGAGTCTAGATTCTAGATTCTAGATAGATCTAGAGTTCCGTATAAGGATTTTTGGGTTTTGAAACAAAGACAAATGAATTCTGGCCTTGGTGATGATTAAAAAATATTTCCAGACAAAACATATGGCCGACCATCGTTTCCGTTTGCTACTTGTCAACATGCAACTATTCTTGATTGGCTCGAAACAGGATGAAGACATCAGGTTCAGGACTAGGACATGTGGAAGATGTTTTCCCTATTCCGTTGGAAAAGGGAGAGCAAACACGTGATCCTAGAAAACGGCCCAGAACAAAAGTAAAAGAAGAAGGAACTTGGGAGGAGCTGGTTGAAAACGCCGTTACAGTTAGCCAAATAAGTCAAGTAGTAGAGCTGGCGCCCGACTTGAAGAGGGAGGTGAAGGAAGAAGCTCAGCTAGGGCTTCAAGAGTGCACCAGCACAGTTGAAAAGACAGACACGTCAACTTTTGAAGCGGCAAGGCCGATCCCTCCAGGGCGGCTGGAAAGCAGTGAGGAGGGACGAGCGGAGTTGACAAAGGTTAGGGCCATTGCTAAAAAGTTTGGCAAGAGGACTGAACCTTTTGCACCCGGACCTGTGCCTATAGAGTAGCAAGTGGTAGGACAAGGCCTGTGACTGTATACTTACTTATACTTTAATATAAACTATCTATAAACTATAAATTAAATAAACTTTATACTTTATACAGCTACTTTTACGATGAATACCAAATAGTTACTTGATAAAGATAAAGCACTAGACAGCAGACTCGACCAGTCGAAGGGGAGATTCAGAACAAAGTAAATGAAGAGCGAAGGAAAACAAGAGGATACCACAACAACAGCAACAACAGCAGCAAAAGCAACAGCAACAACAACAACAGCAACAACAACAACCACAACCACAACCACAACCACAACCAGCCCAAACAAAACACAAGAACAGCGCAACAACTTTCAACTTGTGTATATTGTATTTTTCCAAATCGCAATACGTAGGAGCCCAACATGCTGCCACAAATCAATTCAAATTCAAGTTGGACAGGGCGCCAAGCACAAGCCTTCACAACACCTGTAGAAAAGCAAACAGTCTTCGAAACAGTCAAGAACAAGAAGTCAATAATATAATATACGTAACATATATAACAATAATAATACTCATCATCAGCTGCTTTGTATGCCATGGCTGCTCATTGTCTGTTTGCTGGGGTTCTCCTGCATAGCAGGTCGAACGGTGTCTCTTGGATTCTCTTAGTGTGGAAACGAAACTTTCAAATCCAGGAAAGGCGTGCATCTGTGGAAAGATACACATCGTAATGTAATGTTTCTTGATAGTAAGAAAGTCACCATGTTTTTTTTGGGGGGCAAATCAGATCAAATCGAATCAAATCAAATTCCTATTAGACTCTACGACGACAATTTCTTAAACTTCAATTTTTGGATTTACGTATAAACTTGACTTGCCTAGTGACTAGTGACCTACTATAATAATATATAATATAAATATAAACTAGTAACCAGTAACTAAACTAGCCTGGACCCCTAGACTAGACTTGACTAGACTAGATGACTTGACTAGACTTGACTGACTAGACTAGGCTAGACTAGACTTGACTAGACTAGGTGCTAGCCGCTAGACTCTGCTAGACTAAACTTGACTAGGCTAGACCTGACTAGACGGTCTAGAAACTGACCAGACATGGCTAGTGACTGTGACTAGACTAAACTAAACTACAGTTCAATGATTTTTAAATTTGATTTTGGCAATGCCCCAGCGCAGTTCAATTTTCTTTTCAGAACTCATAGTATTCAATAAGCTGGTCCCCAAAAAGGCACCCACAAGTCCCAAAATGTTTCACAAATTGTGGGGAAAACACTGGATGTTTGTGACTTGTGGATGGCTTTTCTGGTGAACAGATGAGAACTGTACTCATTGATTGTAACAAGAATACTTTCATCTTTCCTTCTTATTCTATTCAAAAAATATCAACTGCATGTACAGATTCCTGGGCATCTTGATTCTTGATGGAAATGAACAATGGCAAAATGTGAAGTATTGTTTGGTAGAAAAACGCTGAACAGAAAGCACACAAAAAACTTTTTGACAACCCCAAAAAAAGGTGGCAGGAAACAAAAACTGGTGTGGCAGAAAGCAAAAGATTTGCGTGGTAGCAACCAAAAATTGCGTGGCAGAAAGCAAAAATTTGCGTGGCAGAAAGCAAAAATTTGCGTGGCAGAAACCCAAAATTTGCGTTGCAGAAACCAAAAATTTGCGTGGCAGAAATCAAAAATTTGCGTGGCAGAAATCAAAAATTTGCGTGGCAGAAATCAAAAATTTGCGTGGCAGAAATCAAAAATTTGCGTGGCAGAAACCAAAATTTGCGTGGCAGAAATCAAAAATTTGCGTGGCAGAAATCAAAAATTTGCGTGGCAGAGGGCGTGGCAGAGAGAGCTGCCATGCGTGGCAGAGAGCGTGGCAGAGAGAGCTGCCACGCGTGGCAGAGGCGTGGCAGAGAGAGCTGCCACGCGTGGCAGAGAGCGTGGCAGAGAGAGCTGCCACGCGTGGCAGAGGCGTGGCAGAGAGAGCTGCCACGCGTGGCAGAGAGCGTGGCAGAGAGCTGCCACGCTCTGCCACGTGCGTAGGGGTTGCCACGCAAATTTTTGATTTCTGCCACGCAAATTTTTGATTTCTGCCACGCAAATTTTTGATTTCTGCCACGCAAATTTTGGGTTTCTGCCACGCAAATTTTTGGTTTCTGCCACGCAAATTTTTGGTTTCTGCCACGCAAATTTTTGCTTTCTGCCACGCAATTTTTGGTTGCTGCCACGCAAATCTTTTGCTTTCTGCCACACCAGTTTTTGGTTTCTGCCACGCAAATCTTTGCTTTCTGCCACGCAAATTTTTGGTTTCTGCCACGCAAATTTTGGGTTGCTGCCATGCCATGCTTTATTAACTTTATTTCTTTTTTTTCCAATAGTTAACCGGCATTCTATATTTGATTTCTGCTCAACCACATGTTTGGCATTGCAAATTCTTTTGCTAAAAAGTTTGCCTTTTGTCACCTTTGTCGTTTCTGACTGAACACTTCCAACTTCCAACTGTGATATGTTTCCAAAGTCTTCGGTTCCTGAGTATTGTGAACATATTGGATACTTGTTACTTGTTAATCGGATATACAGTTTTCCATCTGTTTCCAAGTTCACCTGTCGCCTAGGCATGTGACTGCTCATCGTCGTTGCTCTGGTGCTGGATTGAGCTTTGGCTACGTGCTTTCTTCACGCACTTGGGCAGACTCTTGACAACTTGCACATGAGTGCTAATTTAGATTGTCAGATTCCAATCACTATGGCAAGTTTAAAGTTTAAGCCTAAACATAAGTTTGATAAAAAGTTGGGTTCCCTATTCAGAATAGAAAGCAGTTTGCAATTGCACGGTGGCTTTAAACACTTCTTTAAACTCTCAACGTCTTCTTCAAAATCAACACTATTGTAACTGTATAAGTATAAATAATTAAAAAATAGTATTGAATATGAATATGATATATGTGTTTCAACATTTTAAACTTTTACAGAGTTGAGTATTACATTGATGCTGGAAGTGAAGACACAAGCCCAAATCACGATCGTCTCATGCATACTGCAATCTTAAACACATGTCACTCACAGCCAAAAATAATCATAGTTTATTTTTTCATTTTATTTTATTTCGTTCTGGCTATGATCACATTCGATTTGATTAGCACTTTGTGATGTATGTTCAGACATAGTGGCGCCACAAACTACCACGAGCTTCCCCCCAAATATGTTTAATGATGTCAAGGTCTCTCAAAGGAAGCCCCATGTGGTGACATTAATGAAAGTGTGAAAGCCAAACAAACTAGTAATGTGTAAGGTCTGAGTCTAGTCTAAATCTAAGTCGTAGTGTAAGTGTACATGTAAGATTCAAAATTCAAAATGTACAAGTGTAAAACTGTAGAGGAGTCCTTGAGCTTTGGAAGCCCTCCATACACACCATTGTTTCCAAGAAACTAACCAATCACTGACCTGGTACTTGGAAACCCTCCAAGCCTCCATTTTTGCACAGGCTAAAGTTTAAAGTAGAAATATTTTATATTTTTTATATTATTTTAGATTCTAGATTCTAGATTCTAGATGTTGTAATTTATAATAAGGATCCTCCGGCTGCTCAGGTATGTGCAGCGCGACCTTTGCCCGAAAGCTTTGCTGCTCGGCAAATCCAGATGTTCCTAGGCCGTTTCTGGTTTCTTAAGTTCTTCATGAGCCATCAGAAAAAGATAAGCATATAAATAAGAAGTTGCCTGGCAAAGCTCTTGCCAGTCGAATTTCAAACATGTGTTAGTGTAGGAATCTAGCATCTAGTATCTTGAATATAAAATTCCAGATGTGCCAGGGCAGAACTTTAATTTGGACAGAAATGACAAAGGACTCCGTTTTTAGAAGTCTTAGAATCCTACAAATTACAGACTTGGACTTGGCTTGGAAAGTAGATTTGATTAGATTAGATTCTTAGATATGATTAGATTCAGGTATAAATATGATGCAGACCCAAACCAACACCCTAGCAACGAACTGTGAACTGGTCATTCAGGCTACGTGAGAACAGCAGCGTTGGGAAACTTTCTGAGTTCCGTTTGAGCGCTTGAAAAAGTGATGCAATGATGCGGAACACTCTTGTGGCCAAGGGGAATATATGTGTATATGATATGGCATTATCAAGCAAAGTTTGGGATCCAAGATTATCTCAACCTTTGGAAATAAACCCCGAATAGACTATATATTTTTCCAACGGTTCGGATAGTGTTTGGGCCCCCTGAATATATCTATCTTTAAGCAATCAATCAATCTGAATCTGAACCGTTGGAAATTGATGTAGGATTAATTTTAACTCTATGTTCGCTTTTCCAAAGGTTGAGATCAAACCCCACCAAAACATTATTTATTAAATGGTAGAATCATTTAGCTGTTCCTCTTGGCTGCACATGGCAGGGCCCCGGTAGTGGCACATCGTCTGTTTGTGAACCGCTGTGAACTCCGAAGCTTCACTCAACTCATATTCATCGTTTTCGCATAGTAAGACTTACTTACTTACTACTCAAGCTCAGTTCTCATTGCGCGTCAAACCTTCAGTGCCGAGCTAGACTTGCACAAAGAAGTCAGAAATCAGAAGTCAGAAGTCGGTGCCAGTAGCCGCATGAAGCAGCAATGTCACTAAGTATGTTAAAATAATTTATATAATTATAAATTAGAATATATAGATAGTAATAGTAGACTCGACCATAGACTGCTATAGACATGTAGAGTATATTATAGTTAGTATATAGTTATATTGAATTGGTATATATGATATAGGCTTCTTGTGTAGTGGTGAAACTCATCTTTTAAAGGTAACAGCACCATGACTATGAGATAGAATAGTGAGCTAAAAACTAAAAACTATACACTTTTTGTACTTTTGACATCTAGAGTCTAGAGTCTATAGTCACTATAGTATAGTTAGGCTATAGATATGTTTTTCCACAAAGGCAAAAGGATTCCAAATAGAGAATCTGCAAGTCCCTTCGTCCGCAATGGCAGGAAGCAATCTAGATGTCATTGGCGCTTGGAAGCAGGGACTAGTTCCACGTGTTGAGCCATCAGTCCTTGCCCCGGAAACTTGCTCTTGGGGTAAGATTGCCGCAGGGCCACACCGTTTGCAGCAACTTCTCGCTCAGTGGCTTGTGGGGTTACCGAACCACCAGCAATATGCGCTGAAGCAGTATTTGCCATCTGGCTGGTTTTTCGAAAGATTTGCTTGGTTTAGTTAGTTTACTTTACATTTTGGTCAATTTGTGTTCTGAAATTGAATACTGACTTACGGACCATAAAATTTGTTAAACTAAAATTCACGAGCCTTTCTGAAGTAACATTCTTTCCGGCAAGTCTCACAAGGATTGAGAAGAAATCAGAATGTGACAGCTTTCTGGCTGGGACCTTCTGCTCTGGCACAGATGCTCCAGTACTTGTGTATGAAGCATTCATGGCGGCTGCGGCTGACACTTTGTTTGCCGGCTCCGGGTGCAGCATGCCGACCTTCGCTCACTCTTTCTCATGCGAGGTTGAAGATGAAAAGAGAGCTTTTCTACAAGATTTCTTTGACATGAAGTACTGCTTCACAGACGTCTTGGATATGGAAAAACATGATGGTAGAATGTTTGATGTGAAATCACAGAATTGGCACAGGGTTCCTAGTGTGGATTGGGCTGCGGCTGGCTTTCCTTGTGATGATGCTAGCTCTTTGCACCCAAATCAGAGTTCAACCAAACATCGCCTCTGCGTTGCTCAGGCTTTTTTGGGGTGTTGAAAAACTTCAAGAATTCAAGACACAGAGTCGTCACAAAGACCATCACAAGTAGACTTTAGGTTTTAGGATTTAGATTCTAGATTTTAAGTACCGGATTTGATGAGTTGTTTTTGTTTTTCATCCTTGGTAGGTTTACTGATTGCTGTTAGTGAGCAATGACATTGTACTGACTTACTTGCTAACTATGGTCCCTGAAGGGATCTTTGCGTACAGGGGGTGTGTTCCACGGGCTGGCCTATTATTTGGCTCGCACCAACGTGGAAATCTTCCAGTGGGAGAATGTTTTGACTCTGGCGAATAAAGCTGTGGACAAAAAAAGCAAGAAGGAGGTTGGCCCTTCCAACTTATCTTCCGTTTGCCATATCCTCCGCACCGTCTCGGGCATGTGGACTCATGTGTATCGTTTGGATAGCCAACTTTTTGGTAGTGGTCAAGGGCGTGGCAGATTGTGGGGGTCATCTTTCAAATTATCTTCTTTGAAGATGGACGAACAGAATGCCCACAAGCTGCTAGATGAATTGATGAGTTTCTTCGTCGGTGTTGAGGGAACTGACCCAGAGGATTTTCTTCACCCACAAAGTCACCCAGAAGTCCAATGCAGCCTGAGCAAAGGGAAGTTCATGGGCCAGTCAAGAGAAGATTTTTTGATAGAGAATGAGAACGGGGAGGAAGGTGAGAATGCAGATTGCAGACTTTCCTTCGAAGCTCTTTTCAAATCCAATGGGGCGCTGCCACCAGATCAGGGACGCTCCAGAAAGCGCCAAAAGACTTCAGCAGCCGCGCCAGCATGGATTGGCAAACACGAAGAGGCATTTGCAAAGCTTGGTGAGGACATTGAAAGTCAAACTTGATTTCACCAGTTCAATCGCTTTGTGGGGCTACATGTTTGAAGTTTGAACGAAAAGTGGAACAAGCAACTGAACAAGTTGTTCTCGGAAGTAGCAGTAGCACCAGAAGCCAGTTATACTTTATACTTTATACAAATTTAAATACTTTATACTTTTACTTTATACTATAAGACTATTGCAGTATTGCAAAGAATTAGTAGCTAGTTATAACTTGACTAAAGTAGCTATGAACCAATATCAATATCCTGTCTTCTTTCCTGCTGACATTGCGGTTTGGCAGGAACGATCGCAGTTCAAGCTACCTCCAGATGATGTCATGCAAAGCTTTCCTGCGCTGAGGGTGCTGACGCAGAGACAGCAGGAGATCTTGTATTTGAAAGGCTTGAAACAATTTCCCGATAAGGAGTTTCGGGTCATTGATTTGTCCCAAACGCTGATGTTTTGCAATATGGTGAAAGACAAAGTTCCTTGCATTACCCCCGCAGGGCAAAAGTTTTTGACAAAGCCTGTGCGATACTTGGAGGGGTCTGAGGCACTCCAGCTCCAAGGAATTTACCTGGACCACCAGAAATTGTTGAAGTACAGTTCCGGGTTCAAAATGGACCTTGCCGGGAATGCTTTTGAGACGTCGTGTTGTGGCGCTGCATTTTTGTGCAGCCTGATGTTTTGTGCCATCAATCGGCGATGCGGGGCCAGTTCGAGTGCAATGCCCCATGTTCCCAGAGAAGATGTCGAGGGCCAAGAGCCGGAATCGGAATCGAAGTAGAATTAGGATCTGAATAATTCGATGATTGATGAGAGTCGAGGTCACCTAACCCTGAGTAGAGTAGCCGAGCTTCCTGAAAAATGAATGCGGTCAGCTTGCAACATGTTGCGATGTTGTTGAATTGAAACACTGACTAGTGACTATGGCTAGGTGTCTGCGAGTTCGGAATGTCATCGAATTTCTATGTAGAACGGCCGATGGCTGATTGCCACTTTGTTTGAAGTGCCTGTGGTTGCACTTCTTGTTGTTGACTTTGATTTTAGATTCAGATTCTTTGGTTAGATTCTTTAGATTTAGATAGCTGCTAGCATCAAGTGTGAAGAGTTCTGATCTCTCTCTGTTCCATTTGGGCCAACCTCGCCGACCTAGTTGGCCTAATGCCTCGACGAGATCTACCAGTGCTTCCCGTCCCAGAAAATGTAGTGGATTCCGTGTGCAAATTTTGCCGGCGGGGGCGCTTTAGCACCCCCAATACCACAATGTCTGAGGAGCTTGCAGCTTCAACAGGTCAATTGACCCTGCGATGGAGACGTGAGAGAGGCAACATTTGCCAGCCTTGCTTTAGTTTTCAAGCCCGGCGAAACACCCCGGACAAGTTTCGTGGTGTCAGGGTTCCTTGCCTCAAATACACAAACCGAAGATTGTGTTTAACAAGACAAGGTGTGAACAAAGTATAAGTCTAAGTAACGCAAGGGCCAAAGTACAAATATGTTATCTAGTTTCTGACTTAAAATTGTGGGTTCCAGACTCTAGATTCTAGATTGTAGTACAAGACTGTAGACTGTAGACACCGTAGACTCTACACTGTAGACCTGGTAGAGTACCGACGCCCAGCCAACAGTACATACTGACATACTGTAATCCTGTAATTGTAACTGTAATCCACCACGGGTATGACTCTTGATAAAAGATTGCACCACGGCCTTACCCATGAGCAGTAAGGTTGAAGAGACTTTGCAGACTCCCTCTGAGTATGACCAGTACATGGATGAGTTGCAGGAATTTGAAGATGATAAGGCTAAGGACAATGACAAGAGCAACGAGAAGAAGGACAAGCGACGTAAGATGGGAGATACCATGGACAAGTCCCTCTCAGCAGGACAGGAGTCAGGCTTGCGTATGGAGCAGTTGCAAGGATATTTTTGGCCGATGGATGTGTACAAGAGAGTGAAGGGCCAGACGCCAGAGAAATCCCTTCCCATTCGTGCCCAGGCAGAACAAGATTTGGAACCAGACTTGAAAGCATAAGAAATCTAAATCTAAAATAAGATCTAAAGTTCGAAAGTCTAAAGTCTAAAGTTTAAAATTGAAATTCGAATCTAAGTCGAAGGCTGGAAGACTTTGGTTTGTGAATGTTTTTGATCTTTTGATCACTTAACTTAACGATGGCTGGATCATACAATCTGGAATCTAGTCGTGGAGTCAACGCAAGTCAAGGCATACTAAGCTATGTCTCTCCCTCCCTCTCTCTCTCTATTTTCGTCTTTCCGTCTCTCTTTCTTCTTTTCAACAGTTTCAAAATACAAGTTAACATTCATGTTTCCTGACCCTGTCTCTACCCCATTGCATTGAGGCAAGATCACCTATCAGGGACAACCGCTTCGGGGAGTCATCTTGGACGAATCGCATGGCCGCCCTGTGGGCTCGATTGCAATGTACGGTGAGGATAAGAGGTTCGTTCAGCAGGTGCCTTTCACTGTTGGTTTCTTGTTTGGGTCGCAAGTTTTCAAAATTTACATTTGACCCATGTTGAATTTTGACATATTGATATTATAGTGTGTATATATATATATATTTCAAACATATTTGTATATCTGTTTTTATATTACTTGAGTCAATGAAACAAGACAGCAATATCACTTGGCAATTTATTATCATGCACTTTCTTCAGGCATGGTATTTCATATATGGTTTCGATGGCATGCACCCAGCCCAAAAATACACCAACAATTTTATTCATTGAGCACTGAAACCCAAACGCTGTAGGCGGGTGAGATTCTGAACTCCAAAAATTCCATCGATGAGGGCGAAGTGGCCCAGACATGGGGCGCAATGCAGAAAAGAACGCAGGTGAAAGGCAGGGTATTCCGAAAGAGCCAAGGTTCAAAATCTCATTTTTACCACTTGACTTTACATTGCATTCCATTTTCAAATGTTGGTTTCAACTTCAACCAACTGCCTACCCAAGTTTCAGTCAGGTCTAACAGTCTAACACTGCTTCCAAAATTCTAAACTCGAAAATCACAAAGTCTCTGCACAAAATTGTCCCGTGGAGGCATTGAAGTGGACAAGGATGGCACAGTTGGTATCGCGATGAGTGGGAAAGGAAGCGGGGCAAACCCTTTGACTGCTTTGCTTGACACTGACTTGGATGATTTGTGGGGAAACCGTGGCCTGACCGAAGCATCTTCCAAGGGGAGCAAGTCCAAGAAGGCTGTTGCAGAATCTGCAGAGGAATCCCAAGCAGATGCGGAGGCTTCCTTCTTGTCCAAAAACATGTGTTCAGTTTCCCAGCCGACTGATTCATTAGAATTAGGATTAGAATATGAGGGGCTAGTGCTAGCTGCTAGTATATATGAAAATTGGAATTTTACTGGACTGTAAGTAACTTGTTGTATCTCGTCGGATAAAAAGACAATATTATAATATATCATTGTATCACTAGCCACTAGACTAGACTCAGACTATATCACCAAACTTATATACCATATAAATTAAATATATTAAAAATATATTATATTAAATCTCGAGGTAAAGCAGAAGAGTAAAGGTATAGTTTGGTGTTTGGTGATTGGTTTAGTTTTGCAAAGTGTAGTTTACTAGTATATCCTCCTGCCCTTTTCTCTGTAGGATCACGACAACGAAAAGGAAGCAGAGGAAGAAGATAGCCAGCCGACGTCGAAAAGGTCTTCGTCAGCTGCGGCCAAAGCTCTTGCCGCAGCAAAGTCCCAGCCGCAGTTAGAAGATTCCAAAGATGCAGAAGCTCAGAACCAGAACCCACCAAAGAGGAGAAAAACAGGGAAGCAGCCAGAAAAAGAACCTGATTCCATGGCTCTGAGCAGCATGCAGGTAGCACTTGCGCAGGCACAAGGGAAAGGCACTTCCAAGGGCAAAAAGGTAGGGAAGGGTGGCAAAAGTGCCAAAGGGCTTGCTTCTGCGAATTCTTCTAGCAGCAAGGATATCAACAAGACCGATGCAGCTTATCAAGAAGCCTGCAACCTCCTGCAAGGTCTTGATGATACGCAGGGGATCTTTACATTGACCGTGGCAAAGTGGACTGCAGCCATCGAGAAAGTCACTGGCCGTTTGACCCCAGAGGCTATGGATTCCATTACCAGTGGAAGCCCTGAACAGAAAGCCAAGGGATTGCAGCTCATCGAAAGCCTCCGGATTGTGGAGGAGCAGTTGAAAGCTTCACACAAATTGGTTGAATCTTTGGGGGCGGCGGAGGGTGAGCCATTGAAGCCAGAATTTATGAGGGCTGCGCTGTCACACGCAGTCATGTCCAACGTGAAAGTCTCGCCGGCTGTTCACGACATCCTTGCGGTCAGGACAATCACATGCTACCAGCAGGCTGGTGATTGGCAAGCTATCCAGTCCTACTTGCTTGAGGCTCTTACCGGTACCTCGCTCAAACCTGCTTCGAAGATGGAAATTTTGAAGCATGGTGTCGCAGCAGCTCTGGAAATCTTGGTGGCTGACTTCCCCCGGCAGAGCAAAGAAGCCAGGCCGATTGCTTCAAAAGGAGTTTCTCTTCTGCGAACGATCTCTGATACTTGGAGAAGTTTCTGCATTTTTTTGTGTTATTTAGTTAAGTTATATATAATTGTATATATATATACATTATGAAATATCAATATCAATATCAATATCATATCATAACACTCACTAAATAAATAGATATAATAAATATATATGTACATATGCTTTATATATATATATGTGTGTTATATATATATATATATATAAAATCAATACATCAATATATCTAATAATCTAAAGAATAGTAACAGTATGATGATTATGTATTTGCTTTTGTATATGTGCTAGCTGCTGATTTCCGCTATTGCTTCTTCATCCACAGTAGTTACTAAGTTACTTACTAGTTACTAGTTTACTAGTCGTAGTTGTCGGAAAGTCTAAAAGATACCTTTCACCTTCTGGCTGAGAACTGTCAGGAGCATGTTGAGAAGGATGGTGAGCTTGTCGTCATGTCACCGGCCAAAGAATTTCAGCAGCAGGTTGAGTTCGCGATGCTGGCGCTTTCTGCTATGGAACTGACCTTTGACAGTGTAACCGAGGAGAGCATGACAAGATACCAATCGGCTATGAAATCCTTGATGAATGGTCCCTTCAAGAAGACCTTCTTGGTCCAGCCCATGGGTGCCAAGATTTCGGAATCCCTCGCTGAGTACATAGCATTCCTGCGAACAAAGAAGGCTGTTTGCTTGGAAATGGTTAGCTTGATGCTCGGCCATTGTACTTTCAACTTTAAACTACTTGAAACTTTAAACTTAGACTTAGACAAGTTTACACTACAAGACTAAACAAGTTTACACTACAAGACTTTAGATGATTTTGAACTACTTAGACTTAAACGACATAAACTTAAACTTAAACTTTTCAAACCCTTAAACTTTGAACTTCTAACTTAAGGGCGCAGTGTAAGTTGGAAGTGTCAGTTTGTTTCTCAAAGACAAGACTTAAGCCATTTTCTGTGATGGCACAGAGGCATGGAATACATGGGCAACCATTAGCCAAGGGGCTTAGGTCCTAGGTGTTTTGCTGACTTTCTTCATTCTTCAATTTTGTTCTGAGGAAGTCCCTTCTGAAAGAGCTGGTGGTGCCAACTCCTGCTGCACTTTGCGGACATGGGAAGTGTGATGATGATCAGTTGGTTTTCCCTGACGTGACAAAGTGGGCTGATCTTGCAACACGCCTTGCAAGTGTGCAGGGCAACATTTCGAACCATGCTTTGCGTGAAGTTGTGGAGGCTGACTTCGACATAGTTTACCAGAAGCAGTTGGAGCTGGCAGGGGTCATCAAAGACGCTTTGTTGGAACGACTTGGCTGCCATATCCCCACATGGAAGACATTGCTGGGATTTTGCCTTTTCATGAAGAATGACCAGATTGATTTCGAAAGCCCCGAGGTCGCCAAGGATTTGAAAGCCATGGCATGCTTTGACTTCAAGAGCCGAACAAATTTCAGCAGAATCCTCGGGCACCATTCCGAGGTGGTTGAGGAATATGTGCATGCACTTCAGCCGTTCCTCCAAAGAATCCCCGCAGCTATCTCCCTTGTTCAGCAAATTCTTGCACAGAAACCTTGCAAACTCACAGAACTGGTGCAAGGTCCTTGCGGAACATATTTCAAAACCCTTCTGGACCTGAAGTCATTTGTGGAGCGAAGGGAATTGGAGATCGTGCTGGAAGGAGAAAAAACTTTGAACAAAGGCACCCTTGACCAAGCTCTCCAGAAATTGGTTCAACATGCGGGGAATCAAGTTGCTGTGGCTTTGGTCCCCGCGAAAGATCTTGTCACAGGGCTGTTGGGCTTGGATGTTCCGGTGGCAGAATTCTTCAAGGAATCCTGTGTCACCGCCAATTTGACAGAGGTGGTCTCGGAGATCAAGGAGGTGAAGAAGCTTTATGACTTCAGTGATGGCCACGAAGTTCATTGTGCAGCTCTGAGCCCTGGTGGCATCAGCACTCTTGACCTCTGCAATGTAGCCGCCATGGCACCGGCATCTTCTGTTGTCGTCAAGCTGGTGAACCAGATTGGCGAAGGAGTGGCCCATCCGCACTTTTGGAAGGAACTTCTGGGTTCCAAGCAGAAGCCTGCTGAGATGAAAGGCAAGCAGCCTGAGTACTTGCAGAAGCTCTTGACTTTGCAGTCGGATATGTTGCAAGCACGCCAGGCCAAAGGGTGGGAGTGGGTTGGATATAAGAGATGTTGTGCAAAGTTAGACTGACAAACAGAAGGGCTGTATCATCTGAATCTGAATCCTTTCTTTGAATTTCATCAGTTTTTATTAGGAGAGGAAACCTACCTAGACCTAGAATCTAGAATCCAGAACTTAGACTTAGACTCAAACTCAAAGTCTCTAAGACTTCGACTGTAAAGACAGTTGGAGTTAGAGTTTTTATAGTTTATAGAGTCATAGAGTTTATAGTTTATAGTTTAGAGTCTAGAGTCTAGTTGAAAAGCTTAGAGTTTAGAGTTTGGAGTTTGGAGTTTAGAACCTGCAGTCTAAGAGTCTAGAATTTAAGTTTATATAGTTTAGTTTAGAGTTTAGAGTTTAGAGTTTAGATAGAGTCGAAGTCTAAAGTCTAAATCTAGAGACTCTAAACTCTAAACTCTAAACACTTGGCAAGGGGTTACACACGGGTTTCTTCACAGCTTGCTTCTGAAGGCCCTTGAAGATATCAAGCTGTCGGGCCACAAGCGGGTCAACGAGTACCTGTGCTTTTGCAAGGACAAGTTTGAGGAGAATGTGGTGGCCTTTCTCAAGAATGTGATCAACGCACATGAGCAAGATTGTGTGGAGTCAATGGCTTTTTTCTTGGACGGCAAGGATGGCGACTCCCTCCAAGTCCTGCTGAAACTGGCCGTGAGCTCAAAGCATGTGGAGGCAGGGTCCGGCATGCTGTTTTTTTTTATGAGTTTTGGAGGAAAAGTTAGCACTTAGCATTCCTCCAAACTTGAAACTCAAACATGTTTGTTAAGTATCCTTGTTGGTTGAGAAGTTTGCTGTAGCAGCTTAGCAGCAGTTTCTGTGATCCGTTTTCCATATAAAAAAAATGTTTGTGGATCGTAGTCAGTCACAGTCAGAAACATGACTCCTACTTTACTCAGGTTTCAAGATCCAAGTAGTAAAAATTAGATTCTAAATTTCTAGGTTCTAAAGTTCAAAATTCTAAGTTCTAAAAATCAATTTAATCAATTTAGTTTTAATCGTTAATCATTAATCATGTCATAATAATAATAATAATCATAGTCAATGTCAGCAAGCCGTGCAGGATCCAGAAGCACACAAAGCTTCGATTGCCCATGCTGACTCCGATTTGTTCTACGTTGCGGTGAACAAATTGACGAACCACCACAAGGCCCTGGAAGCATCTTTTGCCAGCATTAGTGAAAAGCTGGCTCTAGGGGAAGAAAAGGGAATCGAACAGATGAGTCAGAAACTCAAGGATCTCAACAGCAAGATTAAACCGATGAATGTGATGCTAGCAAATCTGGTTGGTCTGACGGCCCTGTACAGCCCCGTGTCCGATGAAAAATCCAAATCGGGCAAAGACCCCAGACTTGAAAAGGTAGAGAAGTGTGTTCATGGCGTGATGAAGGCAGGTATGAGGCCAAGCCCAACCATCTGCCAGAAGTTAGAATCTTTGTTACAAGATGAGAGTTTGAAGAAAAAATTCAACTCGCAAATGTCTACCTGAACAGCCGAGAGAGTTGATGTTTCAGATTTAGCTGTTTTCTGTTGAAGTATTTTTTCAACTTCAACTTTCTATTCATGATATATCCTTTCTTACTTATATAACAATATTATCGGTATAGAAGTATAGTATTATATAGTATTAGTTAGTATAGTAGTCTCAGATTCAAGCTAGCTGACACTGCTTTGGTCTTTATAGTTTGGTGTTTTTACGGGGTTACCTCGGCTCATGGTAGCTTGGCTAGGCCAGGCTGTAGCTTTGCGTACATCTCTCAGTAGCTGCAGTCTTAGCCTTAGCTTTACTTTACTTTACCCGAGGGGCTGTGTGCCCAAAAAGCGAAGGCGTGAGGGACTGCCTTTGCAGCGGGGCCAGCCCAATGAAAGACATTGATCTCACCAGCGGTTGGGAAAAAAGGATTGCACTTTGATTCATTGATTATTGGCTGCAGCTGCACAAGCCGTTTCAGCCCTTATCTTAGTTCATGTTCTCTTCACTTCGGTGTTGACTCAACTTGATGATTTTTTTGTTTAGACTGTTAGACTTCAAACGCAGGAAACCACCAATATATTGAAACTGAAACCACATATTCAAACATCCTGTGGCAGTGGTGTGGTGTGGCAGTTGTGTGGCAGCGGTGTGGCAGTGGTGTGGCAGTGGTGTGGCAGCGGTGTGGCAGTGGTGTGGCAGTGGTGTGGCAGGGGTGTGGCAGCGGTGTGGCAGTGGTGTGGCAGTGGTGTGGCAGTCGTGTGGCAGTGGTGTGGCAGTAAAGGTTTTCTAGTGTGATAGGGGCGTGGCAGTGATATGTGTTTTGAAAGGTTTTGGCGTGGCAGTAAAGGCTTGCAGGGTGGCAGAGGGCGTGGCAGTAAAAGGTGTTTAGCGTGGCAGTAAAAGGTTTCTAGTAAGTTTCTAGTGTGGCAGAGGGTGTGGCAGTAATAGGTGTTTTGCGTGGCAGTAATATGTGTTTTGAAAGGTTTCAGCGTGGCAGTCAAAGGCTTCCAGGGTGGCAGAGGGCGTGGCAGTAATAGGTGTTTAGCGTGGCAGTGCAAACCCTGCTGCTAGACATTCTGTGTGCGAAAATCTCTAAGTGAATCATGGTAGAGGAATCTGCTAAATTTTGGTATTATCTGGTATCTGGTGATTGCACGCGATTGCGTCAATCATCTCCTGGAATCTCCCTTGATCTCCCTTGATCTCCCTTGCTTCCTCGAGCATCGCGAAGGAACTTATGGATCTGTACAGCGGCCTTCGATTGCCGCTCCTGACAGTAGATGAGCGTGGGACACCCCGGAAGATTCCCCAAGCTGCTAAGCTTTTTCGATTTGAAGTTGTCAACGTGGCACATCGTGGCACATCGTGGCACAACTCTTCAAGTTTCCAAAAGATTCCAAAAGGCAATCACAGTCATCACAGTCACATCCGATTGTGATAGTCATGAGATACACTGGCATCAAACAAGATGAACGTGTCATTGTTGCTGAACATTCTGCATTCGGCATCACTATGTATATTGAATTATATTGATACAACCGTGGATACAACCGTGGATACGTGGGATATGACGCTGGTCACCAGTGGCTGTAGCTCCGACCAGGCCTTGATGTGCTGCTGCATGTGAAGTGGACGGCCACGGACCCAGAGTTTCTGCAGCAGGGTGTTTATGACCGTGGTTATTACCCTGTTGTCACTTTAAGCCTTTAAGCCCCAACTGAAGGTGCTTTTTGGATCTTTTTGGGGTCTTATTTCTGTGAGTGATACAGACTTCGCAGCCAAAAAATCCCAGCAGTCCCAGGGCTCCCAGGGGTCAGTTTTTGTCACCAAGGTCAAAGAGTTCGACTGCAATCTCACTCGAGAGATGGTGGACCTCATTGACCGTGAAGCAGACATGCTCAACCGGGGTCGCCCGGAGAAGTCCTTTGCAGGCGCGACTCGACAAAGCTGGCCGGAATGTGTTGATTTGTGCATTATTGACTACAGTAATATATACGTATACTAACAATATCTAATAATTTAGTAATCATAAAATTATATCATATTAGTATATATTAGTCATTATCGGATCTTCATTCGGCAGGCTTGCGGAAGCGCTTGGCGAACCTCTTCCTGCAGTTTATTGAGACTCCTGAGTTCAATCCGGAAGCCATTCAGTTCCAGAAGGCGAGCACGTCTATCCTCTTTACCTTGGTGAATCCAAGTGACCAGATGCGACAGGTTTAAGTCTTTTAGCCATATGTCTCAGTGTATCAGCTCCCAAAACTTGTTCTGAAGCCGATCTTTGTGGGTTTCTGCTGGATTTGAGATCGTTTGTTGAAGAGTTGCCAGGTACCTCGTGAGTTTTACGACCAGACGGGCACACATCCCCTGAGCACGGTGCCAATCAAAGGATTGGGATGTTGAAGAGATCAAACTAAAAATATCAGTACAGTATCAGTCCACATCAATCCACAAAAACTATCGAGGATTTCTTTTGTTTGGATCAAAGATGATCAAAGTAATTTCACAATGTCGATCAACGGTATCACCGCGCATCTGGCATGTACTTTGTGTGCCGACCTTGCCTGCATCCAATGTTTGCATTGCTGAGGGCAGTCAGCTTCTGCCATTTCTGCCATTTCTGCCATGACGTTTGGAATCCCCACCAGGGCATGACGGCATCGTTTCACTTGGCACGTTCAAGAAGACTGTGAGCTGTGCCGCTTTGTATCACCTGAGGTGGGAAAAAGCTAGAACTGAGGAATACGCTGCTGAAGTATGCGATTTTCCCTGATTTCAAGACTTGCTCAGTGAACTTGAAGAAATTGGCCCACGTATTTATTCTGTCTTAGAGCAGGATGTGGAGAATTGTGGAGATGTGGATTCAGATGGATTCAGATCCGGCTCTTTCGTGGCTCAGAGTTTCGCAGCTTCGAAACGATGGGTAAAAGCAACTGCTTTTCTACACCTGACTTTGAAGCGACCGCCCTCACTGCCAAATTAGGGATTCCACAGGACGGGGAAGGATCCGAATCCGCCCAACAATTGACACACGTACCAAGCAATGCAGTGAATCTTCTCAATTTGAAAGCCGAAGTGGCACCATTTGCTGTATGTAAGCCCGCCGTTTGGTCCTTTTGGGTCTGGGACTCAAGTTGACTCAAGCCCTGTAGTGAGATCAATTTCCAGTGAATTTGGAGGTGATTGTATGATTCAAGCGTTGCTGTATGATCTGTCGGTTGCTGTGCTATCAAGGCCTGTTTTTCTGTGGAGATGTCATGCTGGCTACTTCAAAGTCGTTGCAGCGGAGTCCTTGTGGAAAGCGCTTTGTTTGGTGGTTGCCGAGTTGCCGAAAATTTGAACATCCAGCACCTTAGCACTGGCATCATATTTGTGAATTTGTCAGATGCCACATAAAAGGAAACTAACCATAAAGAATGACAACTTAATCAGACATGATAATGAATAATCATAAGAATCATAAGTCATAAGTCCTCACAAGTCATCAATAATCGTTCATATCCACAAAGTGATGCCAGGCACCAAAGCTGGGCCAGATATGGACAGCCGTTGGATCCTCAGCGATGGACTGCCACTGGCACCGCGGCACCGCGGCACCGCGGCACCGCTCAGGCCGCTGGATGCTCGATCGCGGCCTGTGGCGCAGGCACACAACAGGCCCGACTTGGAGGGTTCGGAGGGTCCCAGTTGGTCAAGGGATACGTTGATGAAATTTGATAAATGCAAAAGTCAGGTTGATAGAAATCATTTGAATATATTTGAATGTACTACCAGGATGTACCAGGATATACCTGGTTGTGAGGCTTGATTATGCTTGATTTATTATGATTTATTTCAGTTTCAATGATCATTCAAATGTTCACAGCAGAGGCTGTAGTTGACGTTTCTGCGGCATTTTTCAGAGCAAAAAATCATGAGCCTGAAGAGATCCCTGCAGGCCAATTCTTCTATCTGCAAACGTGCGCCTGGCATGGTTTCTGTGCAGAATCCAGACGTGTCCAGACAGCGCCTGATGCTTGACATTGCTTGACTTGTAGAGTGTCCGAAGACTTATCGACTGGGAAATGATCGGAAGCTAACTTTGCCAGCATCGCAGCCCTCAGCCTATGCCTGCCAAAGTGTTGGCACACTCCTTGGGAGCAGATTCACAATGCCATGATCCAATCACGTCTCAACATGTCTCAACCAACACACTTCTTTGTCTCGGATTTGCAAATGGTGACCCTGCCCATTTGGGTTCTTGTGTGGGGCATTTGGAGGTGAGGATGCAGAGTGCTGACAGAGAGCCACATGTTGCTGAGGCAAAACAGCCAATTGCCACGCAGAGATTGGTGCAGCCACAGACTCTTGGTTTTTCACGTTCTCCGCCGCGCTTCTCTTGTGCCATGAAGACTTTGAGATGCGTTCACACGGTCACTTGATGCGAATTGTTTGGCAAGATGTCGCACAGCTACAGTTCGTTTACGGCCATTTGATGTAAGCAGTCATGCCTTTCTGCTCTTGAACTAAGGAAGGCAACAAGTCCGCGGACAACGCTGTTGACTCGTGAGGCCTGTGGGGCAGAGTTGGGTGGTGGCAATTTAAGGATGTCTACAAGATACGGTAGATAGTGCCATTCCGGAGGCATGGAACTTGCTTTCAAAGACCCATTGATATAATTATCATTGATCATTGATATCCCATTAAAAACAACTCAAAGTCGTCATCTCTGCTTCTGCATTTGCAGGTCTCTGATGACAGGGCACCGCGGAGTCAGTGGCTCAGATGGGACTTCTCAAGGAATGTGGCTGCGGCTATGCGGTGAAGATGGCCTCATCAGACGGTCCAGGTATTTTCAGTGCCAATGGGCCAATGGGAAGAGATTGGAAGCTGTCATGAACAGTAACATTCGTTTCTCTATATTGAAAGTAACACGCAATTGAGAACCGATCATTGGATGATTTAGCAAACACCCCAGGGGATTCACATGGATCCGCATGGATTCACAAACAATTGGCTGAGGTCCGTCATCTGTGAGCTCTTTGCCTGCCTCCGTGAAGGGTCGCAGCGGCTACCACAGCCCCCAGGAATCTCGGGCACCACCACGGGCCAAAGAAATCTCTGCCATGGAAAAGAACGAATTTTCGCACACCCTCTAAGCGCTCGAAGCGCTCTAAGCGAATTGAATTTGGAGCTGGCAACAGATCAGACATTCAGAAGCAGTGCAGCATTTTCCTCGGAGAACTGATGCTGCCTTAAGCTTATTGATGATGATAAGGCTACGGCACATATTTATGTCACATGTACCAATCACATGCAGATCACATGCAGATCATATGCAGATCACCCATATCAAATACATGAACATTAAGATTCACATTAACGCTAACACTAATCCGCCGGCCTGCCGGCGTGTCTGATTGGAAGGTGTTGTTCTTGTTTCTGTGCTAAATTGGTAGCAGCCAATGACACTGCCTGCAGCATTACAGTCGTCTACAGGTACTCGTCACAGGACGCACACGGACCAATACTCATTTGGTATGCGGTCCATAGGTTGTTCAAGCAGGAACTTGCTACTCAAGCTGCTTCTGACCTACTGTCTTCGTCTCTTCTTCTTCCTCTTCTTCCTCTTCTTCCTCTTCTTCCTCTTCTTCCTCTTCTTCCTCTTCTTCCTCTTCTTCCTCTTCTTCCTCTTCTTCTTATTCTCTTCTCTTCTGCTTCTCTCTCAGGCTTCCACCTAGCGTTCACGTCAACTTCCCTTGGGGCAATTTCTCTCCGCTTCCACCCTGTCTCCTTCCATGCAGCAGTCTGCTGTCAAGCCAGAGGCTCATAAACATAGTACCTGGCGCTACTTTGCTGGGGCGGTGCTAATTTGGTAAACGATCAATAGGTTGTTACAGCCAGCACTTGCTACACAAGCCGCTTCCATTTTACGGCTTTGTCTTCGTCTTCCTTTCTTCTTCTTCTCCTTCTTTTCTCTTCTGCTTCTCTCGCGTGCTTCCACCTAGAGTGCGCAAACTCCCTTGGGGCCACCTCTCTATGGCCGGCGGGCTTGCCGAAGGCAATTAAATTAAATATTGACATACTCCGTACATCGTAGTATTGTATATACCATTAATGACTCGCGGCAGGAGATGCCGCCGGCCGATGCTGCTGCAGGGCTTGGTCATGGTGGCCACGGCCTTCCTCGCCAGGTGTGACTGCTGGGTCAAGTGGATGGGGAGTTGACCCGCAAAACATGGTGATTTTTCATTGAAATCATGAGGATCTCATGGACATTTCGCCAGCGAATAGTAACCAACTGCAAATTTGGATGATTGCATTGGTCTGCTAGGGAGAATTGAAACGAAACCCTGCATATTGGATGATTTGACCCATGCAACAATGACTTCACGAATTATTCTTTGATGCCGTGGCCACATTTTTTAGTTTTGAAGATACTATTTTCAGACGATTTGAAGAGAAGCATTGGGCAAAACATGGTCCCTGAAAATTCTTTCAGCGAAGACCTACCATTGAACATTTTAAAGATCAAGTTGAGTAGGGAGCCAAATACAGTCCGGAGGATGAACGATATTTTGACATCCCTTTTCTCATTGGCAAAGAGATGGCTGAAAACACATGATCCAAGGTGACACGGCACTGATCTGAAGTATGTAGTTTTGGTCAGGCGGTGGTGGAGACTCATGACAAGTCTGGAGCCAAACTTTTCAAGCAAGAGTTATGTGCTGGTCTCTCACTGGTTTGCCGATTCCAAAAACCTCAGGATCAGTGGGTCATCTCCATCGCACTTGACCAGCACTTGCAGCACGTCAGCCAGTAGTTTGGCCGGCAACGCTTTTTCGCAATAGCATCTGGATTTTGTACATTCTTTTTGCATATTTTTCAGCACATTGGTTTTGGTCAATGCAGTTTCATGCTGATCTTCCTTACGCTTCCGCCACTTGGACAAACTTTGACAATTTGTTTTGAATGTCTTGGATGCATTGTACACCTTACGAATGGATACCAATAAAATGAAAAGGAAACTACCCGCTACAGCAACCAGTTCTTCGTAGCATTTCGTCGCTGAGCGCGTCGAAGTTTGGATGCCAGGCTTGCCTTTGGGAACGCTGCGCGAGAAGCTCCGGGAACTGTTGCCCAAAGACTTGCAGCAGGATTGAGCCCTGATGTCTGTCTTGCTCCTGTAGTATGGCTAAATATATGGGGTATGGCAGATCAGGGGTCCAGGGTCATTAGAACCACTAGAAGGCTTCCTTCACTTGGAAGGGCTTTTCAATGCCGTTCAACGCTGTTCATCTGGAACACCACTTCGCCTGCCCCTGCTGCTATTGCCTCCCAAGAGCCATGGCTGTCGACGTGGAAGCCCCAAACAGAGCCCGCAGGAAGCCCAGCACTTTAGGACTTGACACAGGGACAGGCCTATCACCGTCACTCACTGTCACCTTGCCCAGGGCCAGCGATCTGCACCACATTCCACGCTAAGGTCCAGTGCAGACGTTGGACTCTCGCGTCCTCCTGGCTGAAGGACGCGAGAATGAGGAGTTGTCCCCCGGCACCATGAGCCGCTCCTTAGGTTCCTTGGCTGTTCACCACTGGTTATATTGCCTGACATTGTGGGTAGGACCCCGCGCTCTTGAGGCGACAATAGTGAAACTTTACAGAGGAAACCACTATTTGAGCCTCAGCTGCAGGAAAGCAGGCTCGTTTTGTCACTTTTATTTCTTCTCCTCCATGAATTGCTCCGGTACAATACCGAGACTTTCCAGAGCAGAGCTTCAGAAGAAAGAATTGGAGAGTACACCGAGTACCTACTTTGACTGTCATGTTTGATACGAACTCTGCAAGTTAGCGGGTCAGGATGTATATATATATATATTACCTGCAAGCGGTAGAAGTGCTCAAGTAGGATATGAAGAGTCACTGGAATCGATTGGACAAGGAGGGGTGTTCAACGCCTCATGAATCTCGCTCCGCGGCTCTTTTCAGCCAATACTTCACGGAATAGGCATGTCAACGCCTATGAGTGCTGTGGTAAAAACAGCATGCCCCCCGCATCTTCTTTCTCCTTGTGAGATGGTGATGCTACCCCTTGAACATTTTCTCCAAAACCAAAACCAAGACAAAGAAAAACCAAACAAGACGAAAATCATTTCGTGGGTTTCCATGGTGTCTCCGGCTCGATTTCTGGCCCTTGACTCTTTCTGTTTTCAAGAGGCTCCAGGCCTAGCAGTTTCCTTTTCCGAGCTGACGCTCTTTCTTCATCTTCGACTATGCGCCACTTGTGGCCCATGCGGTAGAACAGGTGCAGTTGCTTGTGCTCGTTGCTCTTGGTCAACCCGTTTGATAGCTGAGCTTCACTATGAACCCATCTAATCTCCACAGCATTGCGAATCTGGGCAGATTTCAAGGAGAGTAACTCCAGGTCTGTTCTCTTCTCAGCGCCCTTCACGGACAAGACCTCGGTCTCTAACTTGTCGTACACATTCCTGGAGTCAGTAACCAGGCATCCACTGATCTGGTTGACGACACTGTTGATGTCTCTCACATTGACCTGAGCTCCCATCATTTCTGCCAGTTGGAATCTCGCAAAAAAGAGGAGATCTTCTCCGTTGTTTGCTGCTGCTGCTTCTGCTGCTCCGGGGCTGCGGCAGATCCTGCCAATCTTCTGCGAATGCCAGGCGACAAAGGTGACTGGCTCACAACTGCCATGACGTAACCGGTGAGATGAAATTCCAACTATAATGCCTTGTGTGCTTGAGCCATCTACGCGGTTCTGAGAGGCGGCATCTACCCATGCAAACAGTGACAACATGTGTGGTTCTATGGCATGTACCTTCATGCAGTGTTCTTTCATATCTTTGACCTTGTCAAGTAACCTGTTAGCCTTGTAAATGGTCTCTATAGTACTCTTGTTCACCTCTGACAACAGCAAGCCGACTTCAGCACTGAAGTGGGGCGCAACTTGTTGTGCGTGCCATGAGACCCCTCCCAGCAAGGCCCGAAGCTGTGTTTTCTCAGACTCCTCAGTGGGTGCATTTCGGTCTTTCTTTCTAAAGGCTCTCAGGTTAATATATTTCAAGTCTTCAACATACTTCGATTGTGACAACGAAAAAGAAAAATCTTCATGTTGTCCCACTTGAACTCCGCATTGGGTAAACCTTTTTTCTTCCCAATCTCCCCATTTATATTCCGTTTGGATACTCTTGAGAACAGTACACCAACCCTCATGCGTTTCATCCCCACTAAAAAGGAAATCATCAACATGACCAGAAATAATCCCTTTGGTAACCCCATCAACCACATAAACCCAGCAGCATGCGTCACTCCAGCATTTTTGCAATCCGAGTTTTGCAAAGAAATCTGAAATGGAACGATACCATTCCAGTGGCGCATCAACTAAGCCATAGCAGGCTTTCTTCACTTTGGTGATTGACTCTGCTGGGAGTCCCATCTTTTCACAGATCTCTGGGCATGGTATACAAAAAAGGTCATCAGGGTATGGCCTGCTTTGCAGGAAAGCACCTGTCACATCACCTTTTCGCATCTTGTGGCGATATGAAGCGGCTAATTGCATCTGCAGTTGCCTGGTCTGGCGAGTCGTGGTTGGAGAAGTCGTTGCTCTCTGTTCATAGCAGGGATCTTGGTATCCTAAAAGAACGGCTCTGGCTTCGCCTTTCGGCTGCCATCCTCCTTCTGCTTCCATGTCAGAATCCAACGCATCTTCACTGCTTGTTCGCGTGCTGGGCGAAGTTTCTCTGGAAGGGCTTCAAAAGCCTTGGCAGCTATGAAGTTACTCACTTCCACGGCCTTTGCAGATCGGAACTGTTGTCGCTCTTCCTCAGATAGGTGACGCTCACAGACTTCAACTGCTGACCGTTTCTTCAAGCTACTGGCAAAGTAAGAAGGGAGATCTCGAAGAGCTCGTTCAGATCCAGCACGTGTGTCTGGCATGGGAACCTCCACGGCCACGGCCGCGGTCTCATCCATCCAGAAGGTGCACTCGGTGACTGCAAACACTTCCTGGATACTTGACTGGTTCCACCATGGTGGGGCAGCAGCCATGCCTTGTTGGGCACTCATTCGAGGCCTCTGTGACACGGGTGCTCCTGAAGATGTAGAAGGCGTAGGCCTGGAAGTTGGACTCCTGGATCGCCCTGTTGGCCTGGATGTTGGAGGAGCCGGTCCCATGCCACTCATCTCATCTACCATGGGGCCTCGTTTTCTTGCACATCTTCTCATTGGTTGCCATTCTTGGACTGGATCTTGAGCTCGTAGCCATTCTGCATAAGAGGGTACTTCGGTGGACACATCCAGAAACTCGTTCCCTCCAAGTTGTTGAGCTACTCTATCAAAGTCCCAGTCATCGTATTGTTTGGCATGTAGTTCTTCTAAGAGGACCTCCCGCTCGGAGGCTCGACGTAGTTGCTCTGGGGAGCACTTGAGAAGTCTTCTCCCTCTGACGCACCAAATTGAGCTGCCCTGCTTGTGGGTCCCGTCGGGAGAGCGATGTTGCTCCACCGCCAGGATGCGGGCTGGCCCCACAAACGAGCCACCTTTAATGGCTGCTTGGCCGCTCACTTGCTTTCTCCACACATACACTAGGTCTCCTGGCTCATAGTTGGTGACATCTCTGGGTTTTGAGTTCTTGGCTTTTTGGAGTCTCTGGCTTGCCGTCCATTCTAGGAAGGCCTTTTCCGCACTTTGCATTCGCTGGAGCTGGCGATCCATCTCGCCAGAGGCGTTCTCTACCAGCAGCTCTGGACATTCACTGGGGCCGCAAGGGAAAAGTCGCCCGGTAGCATCAGGCGCACGGCCAAGGGCATGTTGGATGGGCGAATAGCCTCGGATCAGTTCTCGGCTATTAAAGGTCCTAGTGGCTTCAGCCAAAGCTTCTGCTGCGGTGACTTCTGGGTCATCTTCAGCTATTTTGTTCATGAGAGTCTTGGTACCCTGAATAGCCTGTTCACAAATGCCCACCTTCCAGTGAGCTTCACCCGGAATAATGTCCAACATTATTTGGTGCCTATCACAGTATTCTTGAACCACATGACTCCTGAAGCTACCATCCGGATCAACCCTGAGCTGATTAGGAAAACCAAAATACTGAACCCAATGTTCCCCAAACGTTTCAACAAACTGATTGGCAGTAAGGTGACTTCTTTTCCCCGTAAGAACAATTTTTCCAACACGAAAACGGCATCCCTCATCAACGAACATCAAAAATTGATAGGACTCCTTAGTTTGTGGGTGTTCCCAGTGCCCAAGATCCCCTGACACAGACGCCCATTTTGGGGGGTGAGGCTCCAAGGTGGCTAAAGGCCGTGGCTTCGGTCTACCCCGTTCCTTACAAACTGAACACTCAAAACGTTCGGCTTCCCTGAGCACATCCTCTGACACTCCCCTGCGTCGCAGGGCTTGCACCAGGTGTCTGGTTGGCCCGTGGCCAGTGGCAGCATGTAAGAGGTACAGTCGTTTTCTTATTTCTTCAATGGTCAGACCCTGACCCCTTTGTTGGTTATCTTCCCCAACCAGAACTTCGTGGTTCCCCTTACTGTCACACGTCACATGATTGGTTCCCTTGATTCTTTCATGCTCATCATGAACACATGAACCGCAAACAAAACCATGTTGAGAATCATGAATGTGGTGACAAATGCAACTGATCCCATTACCAAAAGTTTCCCCAATTTGGTGGTCTCCCACAAACTCCCTTTTGAGGTCTTCATCTTCCGCTCCATGAATCAACGCATCACAGACCCTTCGGGCAAATTCGGGGGTGTAATAGGCAGTTTTGTTGGTAAGGGAACCCTCGCACTTCACATGTTTCTGGTGAGGCCCACAGCTACATGGCATGTTCATCCTTTTTGCCAACAAAGCATGAGTGGTCATGAGTTTCCAGCCTTTCGAAATTGGGTTTTTCTCATCATCAACAAGACCAACACGACAACCCCGTACCACAGCAAACCATGGATTGTGTTTCTTCACCAGTTCCTGCATCATTGGAAGCCTCCATGCCTGACATGATTGTGACCATTCCCAAGTGACATGTATACCATGCTGAATACAGTACGTATATATGACACTGCAACCGACATACTGTTTCATGGCAGCTTTGCGCTTCTCAGAAAGGGCCTCCTTCTGAGCTTCACTTCTCTGATTGATGTTTTGCATCACTGAAAAAGGTCCACAAACCGGAGAAAGCCAAACATGTTTTGGTTTATAATGGTCAATATCTTGAATGACTTTGTGAATCCCCTGGTTGGTTCCTAAATCATACTCATTGAAAAGTGAGCAGCGTCGGGCCGCACCCTCGTCACCTTTCTTTTGTTGCATGGTGCGAGACAGCACGCTGTCGGCCGAACATGCCACTTCCAGCAGCTCTATGCGCTGGTGTGATAGCAGGGCCTCAAAGGCATTCGAAATCAATCTGTCACTGCAATGGGACAAGTGTCTTACTTTTTGCTCAGGTAAGGCTTCCCATGAGCCCCTCCAGAGCTCACTGTCGACCTGCATTCCCGCCTGTGACAAATTAAAGTTTTCTACACTCCCAGCTGAAGCTACTGTGGGATCGGCACAAAAGAGCCTGGGGATGACTCTGTCATCTCGGAGACACTGGATGCTTCGACCTTCTTGTGAGGCCTCTCGGCTTTCAGATTGTCCACGTCCTCCTTGAGGGCGTGCATCATCTGCATCATCTGCATCATCATGTTCTCGGTCTTGCCATTCGAGCCGCTGGCCGGCGTCGATGTGTTCTTGTAGCCGCTGGAGGTCTGCTTGTAGGTCGGCATCGGATGCTGTGCCTCTGGGCTCTGGAGCCAATTGGCCAGACGGGCCAGGCGGTAGTCGCATTCCCCCTCGGTGGCGGTCTTCACGACCCAGCTGGCATACTGTGGGTGTTGGGCTAGAAGCTCGTGGTACTGCAGACTGCAGTGTTCCCCGAACCCCACAGGGTCCTCCGGAGAGGCGGCTGTGGTCTGGTAGATCTTCTTGGTGCCCAAGCGCTGCAGCTCCTGAATGGTCTCGGTGCCGCGGGTCTTCACCATGAGCTTGTTGTTCACGTAGTCCACAAGGTCGGACTTCTTCTTGCTGGCCTTGTTCAGTTCGATCATGGCATGGCGCATCGGTGGCCGTACCTTCCCTTTCTGAGTGACCATCCCGTTGGCTTCCTTGAGTTCCAAAAGGCGACTCTCGATCTCCATGATGCTCCACTGTTTTGGAGCTGTTTCGCCAAAGGTCATCAGGAGCTCTTCCACCAATTCCTTTCTGGTGGCACGAGGCATGGCTCTTGTTCACTGACTCGTTGGGGATCTCGTCTAGCTTGTGCTGGAGAGCTGCAGGAGGAGGTTGTTCTGGCTCTGTACACTGACTGCTGTCTGAGATTTTTCCAACATGTCCATGGAAACCCTGGGAAAGTTTTTCATCATCAACAACCACATGGTCATGAACAACACACCCAACATCATCATGAATGCTAGGATCACCAACCATGTTCAAGGGGTTGTGAAAAGTGCCTGAAACATCGCTACTGACCTTCCTTTCCATCTCAGGCGCACGGAAAGAAAGGAGTTGTCCCTACAGGAAAGCATTCAGGCTCGGCACTGGCTGTGCAGTGCTCTGAGCATCACTGTACCAATCCTGAGTCATGGGCAGCAGCTGATGGCCAGTGGCCGAACGTTCCATCTTGATGATCTTGGACGGGTTGATCTTGCGGAAGACGACCATGTCCTCAGAGAAGTCGATGATTGCTCCCAAGGCCCGTAAGGACTCAATGGAGAACAGCACAGGTCCTGCTCCCGCATCCAACGCATGTACTTGTACTTGTCCAGGTTTGCCATCAGCTTGAACCTCGAGTGAGGCTGTGGACACGCACTGGTTCTTTGATGAATTTCCAAAACCAAACGTAGGCTTGTTCTCCAAGTCAAGGTCGGCCAAACGAGAAGTCCCATGCTTGTACTTGTTGAGGGCAATGATCTTCTCGAGGGCCACCACGCTGCCAAGGGTCTTTGTAGCCCCTCCATCAACGACAGCCTTGCCTTGTTCGACGGCCATCTGAGTGGAGATAGGCCCTATGCTGTTGGTGTCGGCAACATCAAAGAAGGCCTCTGGGCAAGCATCGGAGAACCCAGCATCCAGGTAGTTCACCTCGTGGTCGTCCGGGACATAGGGCTCCACAATCTCATGGTCCTTGGTGATCTGGTCTTGTGCAAAACAGATGAAAGGTGCAGCCTGCTCTTCGGCTGAAGAGGCTGTCGTTGTTGCCATTGCCTTTGGACATGATGAAGTCTTGTGAGGACCACCACATCGGAAGCACTTTTGATCTGTGCCAGAAGCTACAGCCGAAGTGCTTCCAGAGGGCTTGAAGTTGGTGCGGTAGTACTTCCGGGACATCCTCACCTGATGTTGTTTCTGTCTGGCCTCTTTCAAGGTGCGACGCCCGCGCTCCATCATGGCTAGGGCTTCTTGAGCCACATCTTCAGCTTCACCCAGGAGTGCGAGGCCCTCGTCATTGAAGTTGCGGTGAGCCTGGGCAACCCAGGCAGTGTCATAGTCCTCAGACTCGGCCTCTTCATTCTCATCCACCCACCAGCTGGAGTGACGATTAGCTGCATCTCGACGACGCAGGTCCTCATCAGTCCACTGGCTGTGTAGCTCCTGTGCCACTCGGGTCATAGTGAAGTCGCCCTTCAGGGCTGCCACGATCATGTTGCGCTCGTTGGTGTCCAGGCCAGAATCAAACAGGAGGTACCAGCCCTGAACATACTCTGGTAGTAGTTCAGGGGCTTCCACATTCCAGTCGGCATTCTCGGAAGGTGTCCAAGAGGTACTCCACCAGTCATTTGACCACCAGTCCGGATAACTCCAGGAGTCTCCTGAAGGACCTGGACCAGTGGAGCTTCGCTCCTCAGTTGCATCCTCGGTGGCCTCAGCTTGATCATCAGGTCGAGCAAGCGCTTCCCGATCATCCTGAATCTCCTCAGCACTCAGGTTCTGACTGCCAGCCAGGGAGGGTGTCCTCCTGTAGTTGGCCCAAGGGTCGGTGGACCCCGGACGGCTATAGCCGCCGTAGCTCTTCTCCCACGCTGGCTTCTTTTTCTCATAGTGAGACATCACCCTGTGAAGTCCTTGCCTAGCTCTTGCATACAGTTCTGACTTTCTAGTGACGTACTCATTCATGGTCTCCCCCTTCTTGCGCCTGGACTGCCGGAAGTAACGGCTCAAATGATCCGTCAGTTCAGGCATCTGTGGAAGGCCCAAGTTTGACCTCAGGTACGTCAGAAGCCGCTGCACGCCTCCATTGAAGGAGAGCCATTCGGGATGCTTGCCCACAGTGAACCTGCGAGCAGTGCCCGTCAGCTCTGTGAGAAGCCTCGGGCCGCACAAGTAGCGCTTGTGCATTGCAATGGATTGCTCCCACAGCAAAGCGCTCTCTTCAAACTCCTGATATGTTCCGGCATCTCCATCCCAAATGGGAACTCCTTCTCGCGTCTTCTCTATCCTTTTCTGCTTCTCCGCCATGTTGTTCCTCCTATGGCTCTGGCAATAGGAGGCTGTAGGTCCCTGGTCTCACGCCCGCCCGTAGGCAGGCTCCGCTACCGTGCAAGCGGTAGAAGTGCTCAAGTAGGATATGAAGAGTCACTGGAATCGATTGGACAAGGAGGGGTGTTCAACGCCTCATGAATCTCGCTCCGCGGCTCTTTTCAGCCAATACTTCACGGAATAGGCATGTCAACGCCTATGAGTGCTGTGGTAAAAACAGCATTACCTATATATATATATATACATAATACTGCCTTCGCGAGTCAAAGGATAGGCAGCCAAGGAGCAGGTTGCCGGAAAGCAAGTCCACTACGCGGCGCTGATCCGCGATGAGACCCAGGCAGGGAGCGATGCTCATGGTGGATTTTAGGGATCATACTAAGTGATTCCGTAGGGATTATGAACTGATCCAAGAAACATGGAGAAACACCTTATGAGCCAGTAGAATCCCATGATATTCCCATATCCCGGAGTCATATTCCATTGATATTCCATGATCCCATGATTATCCCATTAGGGTCTTTGGATCTGGAAACCATGGACCTCATGGCAATGGCTCGGCCAGGGGCACTTGGGCAGAAGGCCTCGCAGCAGCGTGAGCCAACTTCCGGAGGCTCCTACATGGCGTCTCCAGACCAATTGATTTGATGGCCTTTTGGCCCCCCATTTAAGTTAGTCCTCATATCAGAACTTACATATTTGACACTTGAAACTTGCATAGTGAAGACGTCCAACCTTCAGCTCTCACTTTCGTACCCTGCTTGTTGGAGCTGCTTGGAAATTGGTCGCTGAATGTCCCATCGAACAGGGTGTTTACCTTGTCAAGAAGGAAGTGGTCGGCTGCGTAGTCTTCATCAACATGCTCATGATTGGCTTGGAAACAGATGGAGTGAACTGGCCTATTTGGGGAGTGGCTGAAGTGCTCTTCGTCCTCTTCTATTGCTACTTGGCCACAGCACACTTTTGCAAGAAAATATTGTGTGTAGGAGTGGCTCGTCGTGGAGTTCGATGTGTTTTGGCTTGTTTCCCACCATGATCTGAATGTTTTTCCGGCTCGCAATAGCTCTATTACTGCTCTTTGTTCTACTGGCACGGTTGAAAGCCACAGTCTTAAACGACCCCAAGTCGCAAATGATTTCTGAACGCTGATTGGGATTGATTGGCTTCCCCCAGTGCTTTTCAACACATACAGTAGCAGCGTGTTCAGTGCAAGGTTATGAGCTTGTGCGACGGATCTATCACATGGGGCCTGAAGTCTTCTGCGCTCTTTGCTCGGAACACCGGATGGACTTGAGTCTGGAGGCGAAGATCTGGTTGCAGGGGATGCAGATATGTGTTGAATACTTTCGAACGATGTCGAACTAGATTTAACTAACCAGACAAGAAAATTGGCGCAACTTTGCTTTCGAAGACATTTTGCCCAACTTGTCAGGTGAGGGTCTAGATTTTGCGTTAGCTCCCCCTTTCGTCTCCTGCTCCGCTTCGCTCCTCCTCCTCCTCCTCCTTTAGCAAGTGCGTGGATGGTGTGCGCCACAACGGACCTCGTTTGTCAGCTCTGTCAGCTCGCCGACTGTCCCACCCCGACCTCGTCCCAGCAAGCTTGCGGGCTGTGCCCTACCAGACCTGGTGCCTATATAGATGCCAGACAAGACGTGTCAAAGTTTATAAGTAGATATGTCATAAATGGCAAAACATGTGTCAGAATATGTCAGGAAATGTGTCACAATATGTGTCAGAATATTCATCTTGTATGGCAGTAACAATGTCCGAATATATACAGTACCTGTAGTACCGCACAAGGCGGTGGCGGAAGTTTCAAAGATAGGAAACTATAGGAGAGGTTAGTGATGGATGGATGGCAGAGCGAATCCACTGATGGACCGCAAGGTGGCTGTGACTTTTGGAGTGGTTGCAGTGGTCACCTCACCCACAACTGCAGGATGTAGTGCGGTGTAGCGAAGCGAAATGTAATTGTAATTGTAGTTATTGTCCTTGTAGTTGTAGTGTAGTTGTAGTGTAGTTGTAGTGTAGTTGTAGTTGTAGTTGTAGTTGTAGTTGTAGTTGTAGTTGTAGTGTACTTGATGTTGTTGAAGTTGTTGAAGTTGTAATGTTGTAGTTGTAGTTGTAGTTGTGGTTGCAGTTGTAGTGTAGTTAAAGTGTAGTTGACATTGTAGTTGTAGTAATTGTAGTTGTAGTAGGAGCTGGTTGTAGTTGTAGTTGTAGTTGTAGTTGTAGTTGTAGTTGTAGCTGTAGTTGTAGTAGGTGTAGTAGGAGTAGGAGTAGTAGTAGTAGTAGTAGTAGTAGTAGTAGTAGTGGTGGTTGTAGTGGTTGTAGTGGTTGTAGTGGTTTAGTTGTAGTAGTTTAGTTGTAGTGTTGTGTACTGGTATTTGTAGTTGTACTTGAAGTGTAGTTCAAGTAGTTGTAGTTGTAGTAGCTGAAGTGTAGTTGAAGTTAGTGTGTAGTTGTAGTGTAGTTGTAGTTGTAGATGCAGCCGTAGTTGTAGCCGTAGTCGTAGTGTAGTGTAGTGTAGTTGCAGTTGTCTATCTGTCTGTCTATCTTTGTATCTGTTGATCTATCTATCTATCTATCGACCTACCTATCTATCTATCTATCTATCTATCTCTATCTATCTATCTATCTCTCTCTCTCTCTCTCTGTCTGTCTGTCTATCTATCTATCTACCTATCTATCTATCTATCTACCTATCTATCTATCTATCTATCTCTCTCTCTCTCTCTGTCTATTCTATTCTATTCTATTCTATTCTAGTCTAGTCTAGTCTAGCCTAGTCTACTCTATTCTCTTCTCTTCTCTTCTCTTCTCTTCTCTTCTATTCTATTCTATTCTATTCTATTCTATTCTATCTATCTATTTATCTATCTATCTATCTATCGATCTATCTATCTATCTATCTTACTTATCTATCTTATCTATCTTATCTATCATATCGAATCTATCTAATCCACCTAACCCATCTAATCTTTCTAATCTATCTAATCTATCTGGTCTATCTGATCTATCTAATCTATCTAATCTATCTGACCTATCTGATCTATCTAATCTA